TAAAATGGAATTTTGAAAGGGGATCTGAGGTTATGAAGCCTACATATCACAGACAAGATATCAAAAGACAAATTTAACAAGCAATTATCATAGTATTGCAAGCAATCCATAAGTCCCCTACCGGTAGAACACCATCAACATTCTGAAGGGCCATTGGCTATTCACTAATGTTTCAATTTTTCTCTATTTTAAGTAAATTTGTTGGAAAAGTTCTTTAAAAGTGATCACAGGAAACAGTTTTTATGAACAGACAGACAGACGGACTGAAGGACACTCTAAAGTTAATATTTGAAACATCCCTGTTACCAAAATATAACATTTTTAAAAGCAAAATTCTTAAAGAGGAGATAACTCTTGAATTATTGTTATATTTGCCATGTTTTAAGCCTATTTGTTGCCAAGGCAACCAATATTTTTTCAAAATAGGAAGAACAGATAAGACATGCATAATCTCAAGACTGCCATCTACCCATATGTCAAGTTTCATAAAAATATTTCCAGTACTTTTTGAGTTATCACTGGATTCAGTTTAATCTGTGTGTAAAATTTGCCATATTTTCATTCTATGTGCTGCCATAGCAACCAGAATTTTCAACATAGGAAGAAAAGAAAAAGACGTGCATAATCTCCAGACTGCCATCTACCCATATTACAAGTTTCATAAAGATATTTCTATTACTGCGAATTCACTTAAATTCGTGGGCATGAAATTTCGTGGTTTTATCAAAAAGGGCATTTTCGTGGGTTCTTAAATTCGTGGATTTTTGTTTTCTTGTTAAAAAAAATTCAGTTACCTAGCAAATGCAAAATAATCTTAAACTTAATCGCCGAACATTTTTACTTACAACATGTATCTTTACTTGTCACACAGCGCTTGTCAATAAATTTAATCCTTGCCTCTGGGCATAACTAATATAGCACAGTTATTGGCGATAATTGACTGCAATTAACACATTTATGTGACATGATATACACACTGCCCCTGTAATTCGCCGATGTAAACATCGCATAATTTATACTACACCCTACAGGCTTTAACCAGCGAGTAAGTTTACACCCTTAATTGGTCTTAACATATATGACAGTACTTAACTACACGCAACGTCACAGCGACTGTGTAAATTTACATGCATAAAAATTAATCTCGGTAAATAACACGAGTATGTGTGGATCTTGTATTTTTTTATATCTTGTAAAAATCGGTGGCGTCTTTGATGTTGACGGAATAGCATTCACACAAATACAGATTAAAATTCATATAAACTTGATCATTTAAAACGACAAAAGAATGTACAATAAGTCTGTTTTAGCGATCGCATTTTTTTAAAATAATTTTGTGTACTTACGACAATAATATCAAATACTTTTTTTTAATAAATAAGAGCAAACTGACAATTTTTATTAGCGCTAATTATTGCACTGCCTGGGTTCCCATATTTATTCGATTATATCAAGTATTTTTGTTGACACAATCAAGTCCTAGTAGACTACAACAATCAAGTACGTATATGCGACATTTGTGACAGTAAATTGAGGACATATAATCGAGTTTTCTTTCAAGTGTCTTAAATATTGTAAACGGATTTAATATGTCACTAACCTGATTATCTGTCTGTATATACATCCATTTCACGAAATATCGGCCGGAACAGAGCCAACGCATTTTTGTAATACATAAAACAAAGACTTGGTAAGAAGTATTTGTTGGGATAAAAGTTTGTGGGATCTTAAAATTCGTGGATTGACCTACCCACGAAAACCACGAAAATTCGTGCCCAACGAATAATAATGATTTTACAGTACTTTTTGCGTTAACACTGGATCCAGTTTATGTGTAAAATTTGCCATATTTTCAGTCTATTTGTTGCCATAGCAACAAGAATTTTTAACATAGGAAGAAAAGAAAAAGACGTGCATAATCTCCAGACTGCCATCTACCCATATTTCAAGTTTCATAAAAATATTTCTATTACTTTTTGCCTTAACACTGGATCCAGTTTATGTGTAAAATTTGCCATATTTTCAGTCTTTTTGTTGCCATAGCAACCAGAATTTTCAACATAGGAAGAAAAGAAAAAGACGTGCATAATCTCCAGACTGCCATCTATCCATATATCAAGTTTCATAAAAATATTTTCAGTAGTTTTCAAGTTATCGCGGGATCCAGTTTTGTGGACTGACAGACAGACGGACAGACGGAGGGTAAACCTAAAGTCCCCTCCGGTGTTTCTTCTTTTTTTAGCTTTTACTATTTGTATATATAGTTTGACATAGATAATAAAAATAATGTCTTAATATTTTAGTTTTACAGGCTTAACTTAATGTGTGAAATGTAATTTGTGTAAATTTTGACTCATTATTAGTTTTTTTCAGGTTATACTTTTATACGTATATACAGTATATTTCTATGATGTTGTTTGTTCACTGAGATCTTTTGTATTCTGTTATTCTTTAATGAAAATATTACTAAATATTATGCTAAAGAAAAGAATAAATAATAGGTTTAAATTTTCAATATCTTGTCTTTAATTGCATGAATACGTGTGATAAACCACACATTAAGCCCGCGATAATTGGCGTGCCCATTAAAAAAATAGATATTGTACCCACAATATAAATTAAGTTTGCCGAAACCACTACCTGTTTTATCATATAAGATCAGCCAAACCATTTTCGACCGACCAGGGCCAGGGGTCTTCTGGGAAAATATAGCATAAAGCATACATGTGAACTCTCCCACTTTCAGCGGGAGACTCCCACTTTCTGCAACCATATTTGCAAAGATTTTTCTTAAAATAAGGCGTTTTTTCACAAATAAAAGAAATCTCCCTATTTTTGATGTCAGAACTTCCTTCTTTATTTATTGCAAATTCTAAAATCTCCCTTTTTTTGAAGAAAAATCTCCCACTTGATCATCACAAAAAGTTCACATGTATGATAAAGATGTAAATAATTAACAATTTTCTTCGAATGTTTTAATTTTAATCAACAAAATAAACGAAAATATGTTAAAAATCTTCCTCGTATAACAGTTTTCAAAGTTTTTGATGTTAAACTTGTTCAGTATATTTTTTTAATATTTTGGGTTGAATCGTGACAGGGGCGAATCGTCATGCAAGACACATTTTGGACCGTTGAATGTTACTCGTTATCAGTAAATAAAGGAAAAGAGCAACCAGTTGAATGTAGATTTTTCTGAGTCTTTTTTTATGATCTGTATACAAATGACACAAGTCATTTTTATTCAAAACTAACAAAATTCTTAAAAACAAATCGAAATAGGAATTACCCGAATCCTGCTGACATTTTGGAAATGCTTTATTCCGCGCTTCCCGTCCTTTAGGTGAACACCGCTAAATAAAATGAAAAGCGAGCTGATGTGAATTTGGAACAGGATGAATTGTTACAGCGGGAATTCAGCAATGTTATTGTTAACATAGTTCGTATTTCAAATGAGTCAATAGAATCTAGATTTTAAAAAATGGAAAAGAATCATGGGGAAAAAAACGCAATAATTAATATCTTATTATCTATCTATCTATCTTCCATATAGTCAAACCCCTGCTGGGGACCTAGACTTGACGCGCGTCAACTGACAAGAATGTTAGTAAAAGAACTGAAATAAAAGAATATAAAAGTAATGGAAATGAGTATATTGTTAAAAACAGGTTAAAAATAAAGAAGGTATTTTAGGGAGACGTATGTTCAATCCGGCTTACAGCCAGACTGAACTCGGGGCCAGACAAGTTCATGATATCAGGTGGTAAAGCATTCCAGTGGACTATTGTTCTTGGGAAAAATGAATATTTATAGTAATCAGTTTTAGTTTGGACTTGTTGGAATGCATGGGGATGGGATGTTCTTGATGATCTTGTAAGAGGGACGATATATTTTGGGAAAGGGATAGCCACCTGGTCATGCAAGATGTTGTGAAACATGACCAGGCGTTGGTCAATACGCCGAAGGTCAAGGCGCCTCCATTGAAGGGAAGTCAACATGTCAGTGACACTCGACATATGGCCAAAGTCATGTTTGACCCACCTAGCAGCCCTTCTCTGGACGGACTCTATCTGGTCAATGAGAGTTCCTGTGTCGGGAGACCAGACCGTGGAGCTATACTCGAGCTGGGGCCTAACAAGTGTCTTGTATGCAGTTGACTTTAACCTTTCTGAGTGAACCTTGATGTTTCGGCGTAGAAAACCAAGTGTTTGATTTGCCTTTGTTGTGATGTTGTTTATGTGTTTGTTCCATGTTAGATCATTTGATATTGTAATGCCAAGGTATTTTGCAGATGAGACTGTTTCTAATGTGGTGTTATGTAGAAGGTATTGTGTTGGAATGACTGTTTTTCGTTTTGTGATTTGGATAACCGTGCATTTTGATGGATTAAATTGCATGTCCCATTTTGTCTCCCATTATTCTCCTGATCAAGTAAATTATATTCATTAATTTATTTTTAAATGACTAACACATTAAAAAGCATACACAAGATCTAATAAAAAATCAGAATAATATACTTATATGCTGAAAATATTTTTTTTCTAATTTATATCAATTGATCTTAAAACTACCCATGTATTTTAAACATCTACATGTAAATACTTCAATAAAATATTTTTTTTCTCTAATTTATATCAATAAACTTATCCAATTATCAAACCTCAGTAAATACTTCAATAAAACATTTTTTCTCTCTAATTTATAACAATTAATAATATACTTAGCCATTTATTTAAAAAAAAAATAAGTCTTGCGCACAAGTCACTATGTGGTGTGAACGAGATAATTAAGTTTGAGATAAAATCGTTTCTTCCATCAGCTAACAACATTCATGTATGTTTAAACACCATAGTAAGTTATTCATGACAAAGTTACTCGTCTGCACCACTTAATTATTTCATGCTTACGACATAGTAACTCGTGCGCGTGACATAGTAACTCGTGCATAAAACTAGGGCATCGATTGAATATAGTGGTGTTCAATTAAGACAAACACATTTAGTGGTGTTCACAATTTATTTGATAAAGCGTCTTAATACGCAGATTAAGGTAAACAAAGAAATTCCAAATTTTCCCGGTAAAGTCTTGTGAAAACTGCCTTGCTGCAAAGTATTGAAAGTAAAAATGCTTCATATACCCGTCTTTATGCTAATAGAGACCCAAACAGTATTCTGTTGCAATTTCAGGCTTGTTTGATAATATTCGTACCACTTACAATTCGACCCAAATTTTTCAAAAATATATTAAGGGGGCAGGGGACCTAAAAATGAACAATTTTGTATTTCAGTGTGGCCAGAAACACAATTCCAAATATTTCAAAATCTGTTTCACAGGCAGATAACCAGTTGCACAGCATTATTCAATGGTATATGACATATATTGAAGAAAATAATAGTTTGCATGCATTGCTCCTTAAAAAATGACTGACAGCAATTTATGTTTACCCCCACCCAGCCAAAATCACACCTAATATATACCAATATGGGCAATCTTCATGAAGGTGCAGCATACTCCAGAATCCGCCCGATTCCTATAAAAGTATCACTAACACACAGTGCAAGCTATGGCATTTTCAAAAATGACCAATAAAGTGTCTGTCATACGTTTAGATTTTTCACAAAATTTATCTGAAATTTCTTACTTATTTGTGCCAACTGTCAAAGCTTGATTTTTTACTTTTTCACCTCCATTCGGAGAGTCACAAATACATACAAAGCTACCAAAATGCTTAGTTTCGGGTAAAAACCCAAAAATACTGCTCATTTCCTACTTACAAACAAGAAAGAATTACAATGACAGAGAAATATCAGAAGTTTCCAGTACCTTCAAAACACCATGTCTTAGTTATTAAAAAATTTGAATATGTCCCCTGCCACCTTAAGAACATATATATTTAGTGAATGACTTTGAAATCATTTTCTATTTGACTATATATTTTTGAATCTGGTATTTCCTTGAAACATGATATAAATTTGATATTTAATTTTATGATGGGCATTCGGAACATAAATTTGTCTTGCCAATAATTTAAATGAATGGTCAAATTGTAATAACCCTCTCCCATTGATCATCAAGAACAAAATTACGATTCAGCACCTGTTAACTATATATAATATATACAAGGTACATAACTTGATGTACCATCTTTCTCCACAGTGTCAATATTTTGCTCCAGTAATTCGTTTAAAAAAACCATTATATCTTATAAATACTACATGCAAACATAGCACAATAGGTATACAATAATACATACATGTGTCATGGTTCAAAACTGTTCACTATTTAGAGGAGATGATGTGTAAATGGCCAGATAGCTCAGTTGGTAGAGCCACTGTACAGTATTATTGCTCTGTAACTCTGTGAAATTCGAGGACGAATTTCAATATAGCAGGGGAGTATGTCACGATTCAGAACTGTTCACTATTTAAGGGAGATGACGTGTAAGCGCCGGAAAGCTCAGTCGGTATAGCAGTGGAACTGTATTCCTAGGGTCCAGGGTTTTAGTCCCGGTCAGACTGCACATTTTTCTAACCGTGTGACACATGTATCTTTCAGTAACCATTAAAAATAGTGAGCCCACTATCTTCATTTACGATAAATGTAATATCAAACTTATTACCTGTAAAATTACCTTAATATTGCGAGGTCATCATGTTAAATGATCATGTTTTGTGCCAATGAAACTTCCAAATCAACACTGTTTTAAAGTAAATATACATTTTGCTGCTTGTTATTCATAAAAAAGTATTCCTAGCAGGTTAAAAATGACTGAAGATATTCCCCTTGATGAGATGGATGAGGTGGACGATATGGAAGATGAAGATTTTCATGATGAGCTAGGAGTAGAACAGTCTACACCAGAGAAGCGTGCCAGGCATGCTATTACAGGAAGGGGGGTTACTTTACAGATGTTGATGGCTGATGGAATTATCAAACCTGGAGATGGTGTATTGTCCCTGGAGTATTTGGTATGTTATTCTTTACCAATACAGTCAACTATCTCGACATCGCTTTTCTCGATATTTCGTTATCTCGATGAAATTTTGAAAGTCCCGATTTTCTTCCTTCTTTATCTATATTGGAAATATTTGTTTATCTCGATATTTCTATTTCGATATTTTCAGTATCTCGATGTACAATTTCAGCGCCAACAGTTATTTTTACACTATTATCCTTTGTTTATCTCGACTAATAGTTTTTTTCCGTCTGTTCCCTTCAGATGTGTGAAAAACACAAACTAGACGAAAATTGCTCAATAGCGCGTGTCATAATGATGATTATGTTTGTAACGTGTTTAGCTGTTTTGATAAAAGTTAATCTATTTAGCGTGTTGATTGACTTATGTCCAAAATGAGTGAATTTTACGTTCTTTATAAATATTCGAACACTGTATCAATTCATTATGACTTTAAATGTAAATGAAATAGTGAACGTATAGAAACGCTATCGTTGCAATATTGTTTCACAACATCACCACCAAATCAATCAGCGGTCGAACAACACCGAGAAAGACCCAATAAAAAGCCCGGGAGGATATCCGAATGAACTTCCCTGAAAACAATGTTTTCACTATATTGGTGTATTACTGAGTAAACCTCACTATGTGTTCTTATCACAGAAACCCGTTTATCCGCTGATAAACATCCGCTATTGTTACTTTGTTAAATATTGATTAGGTGTATGAAAACAAAACATGGGAATATCATAGTTTATTTGACATTAGGTATGCACATGTCTTTTGTTAAAATCAGTTTCTGCCTTATTCAAACCCTAATATGTTTATCTCGACATTTCGTTATCTCGATATTTTTTGGACGGTCCTGATGACTTCGAGATAACAAGAGTGGACTGTACTAACATATCCTCAAAATTGTACAGTAGAACTGAATATTTTCCATTGTTAGCTTAAAAGAAAATTGCTGTTATCATAAGAAATGCACTTTTTTTGTCCACAGGCCTATTACTCTGCCCTTTATTCAGTAATTCCCCTTTGTGACATATGAAAATGACTGCATGAATCACTGAAAAAAGTCATTTACATTTGCCTGTGACAGCTCTTGTTAAGGAGCACCCTAAAAGTCTTTCCTTAAGTTTATATACATGTAAACATCATTAATGATTACTTTATTACAATCATTGTATTTGGTCTAATCAGATTATATTTGTACCATTTTGTTTAGAATAACTAAAGTTTTAAGGCTGCAAGTCTCCAGAGTAGGAAACAAGCAATCAAAAAATAAAAATTATGTACATGTAGGAATAAAAGTAAATGGCACTTTGCATGTTTTATGCAATTACAATGTATAACTACATGTAATTTTACTATTTTGTCACTAAGTTTTTCTATTAATTTTCAAAAAGGAGTAATAGAGGATATTTGTTTAGTTCAGTGTAAGATCGGAATATATTTCACCGAGTGAGCACCAAAAGGTATATTTCACGAGTAGAGCAGCCACGAGTAAAATATGAACTTTTGGTGTTCACAAGGTGAAATATATTTCGATCTTACACTAAACTAAACAAATTTTCTTTTTATTATATGCAAAGAAACGTTTAAAAAAGACATTTAACCTAATACTGAGTGAAGAGCGCGCCAAATGATAATATAACGTGACGTCATTTACGACGTCACGTCGTTAAGTTGGTTCCCTGTACTGTGCACGCTGGTATTTCACTGAAACAACGTAAGGGGCTTAAATTCAAAACAGTGAAATTATCAAAGTGGTAATTTCACTGTTTCAAACAGTGAAATTACCATTTTTATTTCACTGATATATTTCTATAAACCACCGAAAAGCATGTAATAAAGAGCTATATCTACATTTTTGTTAAGTTCATTAGGCTAGCTATAACTCACTTTACAGTCTACAATGTGCACTTTGAAAAAATTATATTTAGTATTGAACATTTTTTTGAATTTATATAAAAAATGTGCATGAATCTGGAGGCATGCTGCTTTAACTAACAATGAACATTTTAAGGTTTCTATATTTTATGTTAGGCTTTATCACATTTCTGTAATTTTTTGCTTTTTTTAAATGAATTTCATATGTCATTTCAGGGTCAGAAATTCACAGCAGATCTGCAATCAAATGGAAAAATCAAATCAAACGAGACTGATCAAATATTTAGCTCTCCAAGCTCATGGGCAATTTTCTGTAAGAAACTTGTCAACCCAGCAAAGAAATCTGGTTGTGGATGGGCCTCAGTAATTATACATTTACTGTCTATTTCATTCAAAGCTCATATTGTGTTTATTTAGAATTAATTGAATGTTGGAAAAAATGGCTTTTTTACTATAACAAGGGTGCAATATGAATAAATTTTATACAGTTTATATGCGTTTCTGCCAACTTTTTTTGTCCATGTTATTTAATGATGTTCATATGTAGGTCATAATTACTTCTAATTTAATCAAAGTGAAGGATGATGATTGTTCATTTCTTTAGTCAATAATTATGTGAATGGGAACTGTAAAAAAGAATATGAATTTCCATTAAATATTTTTCATATTCTTTTTTTTGATTCATGCCTAGCACAAGGTCATAATGGTTTAATACATTAAAATGCTGATATTATCACTCATATTGCCTTTGAATTCTTCTTGTTAAAGGTGAAATACAAGGGGAGAAAGTTAGACTCATGGAAAACCAGCTGGTTCAGACAACAGAAACCTAGAAAACCTCATATACCAGGATCACAGGTATTCATCCTTAAATTGTTTTTTTTCAAGTTCATGTTTTTGCACATTTTAGAGATTATTTTTTTAAAAAAAGAAAAAAGATAAAATGCTATATCAGTATATGTTTACAAGATATGCCTGATTTTTAACTGAAAGTTTACTACTTTGCAATGTTATGTTGAAACCTTTTACGTGTTAAATGATGGCCTTTTATGAAAAGTTTGACTTAAACGTCTTGTATTTTATTTAACGCTTTCCCTGCTGGAACAAAAAGAGATAAGCATTTGTTGCCAGTATAAAGCTAGACCAGCCTGCATATACATCATTAACTTGAAATAAAAAAAGCTGGATAAAGTCCATGTAAACCTGCATGCATCCAAATGTGCAAAAAAAATTAAAAAATCAACTTGGAGAAAAATGTACCAAGATGTTAAGAAAAGTAAAATATTCACAATTCAAGTAATGAAGTAAACCTGATATATGCAATGAATTACTGTTTTTCATTATAAATCAAAAGATTTCTATTGCATGACTAATACAGTAAGGGCTATTTTTGCATATTTTGACCTTATTTTGGTGATTTACAATGTAAATGGCTTGTAAGTGCCTATTACATCATTTGTTTTCTTGACATTTTTTACCCTTTTATACACTTTCAAAAGAAAAATAAAGGAAATTTGGCATGAATCTGAAGGCATGCTGCTTTTAAAAGTCAATATACAAAATTATCATTATTTATATATTGTTTCTTCAGTCACCAGCTAGTAGTATCTCGAGTGAATCTATGGACATATTTTCAAGGCAGGGACTTGGTGATGACTCACAGTCTGTCAGTACAGAATCAGCAACAGCTCTGTCTAGGCTCACATCATGTTCTTCCTTTGGCAGTGACCTTCAAACGATATCCAGTGACAAAAATGAAAGTTCATGTAAATGAAAACATTTTTATTACCCAACTAAAGTTGTCTGATCACAATATTTGCCATTTAGGATTTTTTGTGGCTAAGTGGCTACTTTGAATTGTTGTTTAAAAAGTTATATTTTGAATAGTTAAAAGAATACATGTCAGTAGACAGTTAGAAACATGCTTTCTGAAACTTATTATTGAAAAAAGAATTGAGATAATCATTCAGTTTCAGTAGTAATAATGTTTAAAATAGTGAGAACACAACAGAGCATTAATATTTATTATCACTCCTAAAGCGCGGAATATATTCTGCTTAACATTTTACAGAAAGCTTGAATAGTGTACCAGATTCCTTGTATTTTTGTACTTACTTGAAAAATAAGGCAGACTTGTCTACACGTTTAGTGTGAAGTTCTGATATCTGGCTTCAAAATAATTTTATCAAAATATTGTTTTGGTGACTGCTTAATAAAATTCTTTAAAATAGGATGAGGTGTGTTTTATGTCTTACTTCTATTTCATATTATCCAGCTGTGAAGGACAGTGTTTCATCACTTGTGAAGGACAATGCTTTACCACTTTTGAAGGACAGTGCTTTACCAGTTGTAAAGGAAAGTACAGTTGCAACAGCTATGAAGGAAAGTCCATTATCACTAGTGAAGGAAAATCCGGTACCACTTGTGAAGGAAAATCCGGTACCACTAGTGAAGGACAGTGTTACAGATGATGATAATGGTGTGTTAGACTTGACAACCAAACCAAAACCAAAAGATCAGCCTGTGACAGCCAGGTATTATATTAAATAGACAGTATTAAATAGTGTTTGAAACAATTCCAGTAAAATTAAAAACCAAACAATTTTTTTTTTGCTATTACGTGAAAATATTTTATGCAAAGTGCATCCCAAATATCATGATAATATTTACTAAGAGTGTATAACTATTCTACATGTGTGTTTTTTAATCACATTGTCACAAGGAGGCTGTGTAATGACAAAGTCTGATTTAACACAGTAGTCATTAGTTTTGAACTAGCATACCTGTAGTTCTTGCAAAAACTACTTGTTTACAACTATTTTAGGAGGCGTCTGTGTCATTGACTTTAAACCACTTTCCTCTAACTGCTGTTAGTTTGAGCCACGCACTTGTCATCGGATTTTACATGTGAGAAAGCTATCCAGCTAGCTTATGGAATGTCGGTAGTTTTACACAAGGTCTTCCTCCACCAGTAAAGCTGGAAAGTCACCATATGACCTATACTATGTTAGTGCCTTGCAAAACCCAACCAAAAAAACCCCAACTATTTTGTGCATTTACAAGAGTGGTTTGTGGAGCTGTTGTTAGCTTACCTAAGCGTGTACAGGTAGTCAATTTTTATTCATGAATTGCAGCTCTTGGGAAAAGTAATTGATAATCTCACTATAGTTGGTTAAATGCATATATATTATCAAAAATTATGTACAATTTTCAGGTCAGAGCCAGCCAGTCTTTGTTTTATTGGAGAGCAAGAAGAAGGTTTGTTTTGTTTTGTCAGTATCTACAAATTATATTTCAATCATCTTAATATAACTTTTTCATAACAGAATATGTTGCATTATGTAAATATTACTTTTTTTTGACATGTTATGTTGCTTCTTAGAGGTCTAATTATTGAATGCTATGTCAATTGAAGTATGCTTATTTAATTCCACTTACATCTAAAATGACATCCATTATCTTAAAAAGATATACACGACTGTAAAAATGAATTAGATTGTGTTTTGCTCATGTTGGCCTCTTTGATCTTTGCTACAGTTAATAAATTGCATGGAATTATAGATAAACAGTGGCCTTTGTAAAGGTAAATGTAAAAGAATAAGCACATGTACAAAAAATACTGTAAAAAAAGAAAAAGAGTTCTACTTTGAAGATTTATTAATTTTTTGTTTCATAATTTAGTATCCAAGTCTACAAAACCCTGAACTAAACTACACACAAAAATTTAGGTTTACTTCAGCCGGGTATATTTTCTTAAGATACTAAATCTTCTTGTTTAAATTGAGCAGTTCCTTTTCTTTAATTATCAGTAAAATAACTTATATGTGTTATATGTGATTTTAGTTACACTCAGCTCATCCTTCAGTAAAGTATTTTGATCACAGAAATTTATTGAAATCTATGAAATTCTTACTGAATATGTCTGATTTGATTAAAAAAATGAATAAACTACCGGTATGTATGGTTAGCTGATAGGGAATCTTTTTATGACGCTATATATTCTTATTGTGTGTAGAATTTATTTGTTTGTTTGATTGGGTTTTACGTCACACCGACACAGTATAGGTCATTTGGCGACGTTCCAGCTTTACTGTTGGAGGAAGACCTCAGGTGCCCTTCCGTGCATTATTTCAGACACGAACGGGCACCTGAGTAGAACCACCGACAGTCCGTCAGCTAGCTGGATAGCTTCCTCACATGAATTAATCACTAAAGTCTCTGTCAGGATTCGAACCCACAGCGGTGAGAGGCAAGTGGTTTGAAGTCAACGACCTTAACCACTCGGCCACGGATGCCCCTGTGTGTAGAATTTAAAACATGACGTATCTGCTTTGTGTGAAGTCAAAACATGTTAATTTTATATTTACAAAAAAACAGTAGAGCAATTATCAATATTTTCTAATATCAAGTTTGAGCATAGTACTTGTACATCTTTAGGCAGAATTAGATTTTAAACATTTTCACATTAAATTACCTCCCAAAGTTTGATAATGTTTATGGAAAACCAATTATGTAATAGAAAGAGCATTGAAACACGAGGCAATCTGATTTGCACATGGGGGCTTAGGCATTGGCAAAAATAAATTTAAAACACTTTCTTTGTTTTCACAATATGAAACCCCAGAAAAAAGTAACCAATGCACAGGCTTTGGAATATGTTTTTTCTATCCTTATACCTATCCCTATCATCACAATAAATAAACCACAGAAAAAATGAGCCAATCAACAACAAGCATGCTCTATTTTTGTCCCTGATAGACAGGGAGGTAACTAGAGTGCAGGTAACTAAGACCCACATTCCAGCTAACACACTTAATGCACTGTGCATGTGTGGCTCTTGACACATTTTCTATTAAAAGGTCTCCAAACTATGATACAAATATTTTTATCGAGTTAATGTAAATGGATAATGAAAGTACATTGTGTACATTAAACAGTTTATATTGTTTCATGTAATCTTTGCTCAACTTTATGATAGTTTATAGATGTGGAGAAAGTTGTCATTTTTCTCATCTCTATGCCACCCACTGAAATACAGCTTCTTTGTTTCCTCACACCAGCATACAGCATATGGACTTTCCAGATTCTTCAACACCACCTTTCCTGTACCACAATCTCCTGTTATCTCTTGTATAACATTTTCCTTTAAGTCACACACAAAGACAGTACCATCATCTGACAGTGACATTCCAATAGGCTGACCCATACCAGTACATCCACCAATCACTTCACCTTGCCAGTTTAATCTTGTTACTGTGTTCATCCAACTGTCAGATACATAGATAGAACTTTTGTTACACATGACATAATGTGTAAGTTTAAAAATGTTTTTACCATCAATTGTTGTCAGTGTAGTGCCATTCCTATCAAGGATCTGAAGTTTTGCTGGATTAACAAATGACACAACAAATTTACCTTGATAATAGCTTATACCATTACACTCTCCATCAACCATCATAGTGTGCTTCTTTACAAGTTTGTTTGATGAGATAGAAATAAACTGTACTGTACGTTTGTAAGGAAGTGTGACAGCAAGTTCTTTGTTTGTTACTGGTGTGATATCCCATGGTCCAGCATCTAGTTGTAGTTGATCAGATACAGACTGACTGCTGATATCCACCATCTTTACAGCATTGTTATTGCGGTCAGTGATGATAAGAAGATCAGGAGTTAACATTAACATCCCTCTTATCCCACACAATATTTTATCTTGCTGTGTCTTCACACGGATTTCTCCCTCATGTGAAGATTGTCTAGACTGTATTTGTATGGGTAAAGCTTTTTTATTTAAAGTTCTCTGTGTCAGTGTACCAAAAGACTTCTCTGCTTTCAGGTTGGTTAATATTGCCACATTTGCTTTAAAGTGGTGTTCTTTGATATCATATGAAGAAAGTTTTAGTTCTTTTTCCTCCATATCTTTCATTATTTTCTCAGCAAGTTTAAGTTCCTTGAACAGTTTGTCAGCTTGTTTTGATGTGTTGAGTTGTTTTATTTTTTCTGACAATTCCTTCAGAGATTTGTTTATGTCTTCATATGTTGTTTCTGCTGCTTTTAGATGTTTGTTGTTATCTTGTTCATTGACTTTAGCTGCATCTTCAGTTTGTCTCTCAAGTTCATCTAGTCTTTGGTTGATTTCTTGCCGAAACTTTTTGATTGCTGCCAATGATTCTTTGAGAGAGCTGTTGGATTTATATGCCATTTTCTTGAGATCTTCTACTTTCTGTTGAAATTTGTCAGAAGTGGTATTAAGAGCATTCAAGATAACTTGGTATTCTTTACTGTCTATTATATCACCAGAAATGTCTGGTATGTAATCAACTTGGCAGAAAGTGGTTTGGTGTTCTAGGGTAACACAAACACTGCATAGAAATTCCACATGATCATGACAGTAGAACTTGATCAGTTCTTTTGAATGTTTAAGACAGGGTGTAGTTAGGCCATCAGACTGGCCTGTATGAAAGGATGGTGACGGTTGTTGCAAAACTTTAGGCATATTCGTAGCATCCTGAAGTTTATGATGTTTGGAAAGCTTACTTATTTTGTGAGCTGCAAAGCATGTCTGGCAAAGGTGTTCCTTGCAGTCAGTGCAGTAACCATGGGCAGGGAGTCTAGTTCCTTCCTCGTCACAAGGCTGGCAGTAAATTTGAAGATCTTTATCTGATGCCATGGATGTTGTTGATGACAACAAATGTTTTGGTGCTTTCTTTCCTGAAACTGCCATGTTTTACCTAAAAATAAAATTAATTTTGTCTGTAAGAAAAGTTAATATCATGGTAACTATGATTATAATCCAAGTTTTTAACCAGATTCCAGAGGAAAAATCTGGTTATTGGATTGAGGTATGTCGGGTGGCGGATGGGCAGACAGGTGTAAACAATTTTTTCTATGTGCTACTCCTCCTACATTTCTCAAGGGATTTTAACCAAACTTTAACATAAGCTTTGTCATAAAGTGCCCTGGTACATATTGTCAGGGTTATGTGATCAGATATTTTTTGAACTTATTATGGCCCTTTGTTTCTTTTTGTGATATAGAATATAATATACAGTGAACAATTTCTTCAATGTGCAACACCTACATTTCTCAAGGGATTTTGTTTAAACTTTCACAGAATATATGTTATCAAGTGCCCTGGTGCATTTTGTCAGGGTTTTGTGATTGGATTATTTTTAGCTCACCTGAGCATGCTCAGGGTGAGCTTTTAGGATCGATGATTGTCCGTCGTCCGTCGTCCGTCCGTCGTCCGTTCACATTTAGTTGTTAACACTCTAGCGGTCACATTTTTGCCTCAATCATCATCAAACTTGGTCAGGATGCTTATCTAGTTGATAGCTCGGATGAGTTCGAACATGGGTCATCTCGGATGAGAAACTAGGTCAAGAGCTAAAAATAAAAACCTTGTTAACACTCTAGAGGTCACATTTTTGCCTCAATCATCCTCAAACTTTGTCAGGATGTTTGTCTAGGTAATAGCTCGGATGAGTTCGAACATGGGTCATCTCGGATGAAAAAGTAGGTCACCGGAGCTAAAAATAGAAAAACCTTGTTAACACTCTAGCGGTCACATTTTTGCATCAATCATCATCAAACTTGGTCAAGATGCTTGTCTAGGTGATAGCTCGGATGAGTTCGAACATGGGTCATCTCGGATGAAAAAGTAGGTCACCGGAGCTAAAAATAGAAAAACCTTGTTAACACTCTAGCGGTCACATTTTTGCATCAATCATCATCAAACTTGGTCAGGATGCTTATCTAGTTGATAGCTCAGATGAGTTCGAACATGGGTCATCTCGGATGAAAAAGTAGGTCACCGGAGCTAAAAATAGAAAAACCTTGTTAACACTCTAGCGGTCACATTTTTGCATCAATCATCATCAAACTTGGTCAAGATGCTTGTCTAGGTGATAGCTCGGATGAGTTCGAACATGGGTCATCTCGGATGAAAAAGTAGGTCACCGGAGCTAAAAATAGAAAAACCTTGTTAACACTCTAGCGGTCACATTTTTGCATCAATCATCATCAAAACTTGGTCAGGATGCTTATCTAGTTGATAGCTCGGATGAGTGGTGAACATGGGTCATCTCGGATGAAAAAGTAGGTCACAGGAGCTAAAAATAGAAAAACGTTTGTTAACACTCTAGTGGTCACATTTTTGCATCAATCATCATCAAACTTGATCAAGATGCTTGTCTAGGTGATAGCTCGGATGAGTTCGAACATGGGTCATCTCGGATGAAAAACTAGGTCACAGGAGCTAAAAATAGAAAAACCTTGTTAACACTCTAGTGGCTACTGTTGTGATCCAAATATTCTGTTAATTGGTCTGAAAGTTTGTTTTGATGATTTCTAAGTCAAGTTCGAACATTGGTCATCTTGGATGAAAAAAAACTAGGTCACACCGCCCAAATATGGAAAACCTTGTTAACATTCTAGTGGTCACATTTTCGACTCAATTATCATCAAACTTGGTCAGGATGCTTGTATAGGTAATTGCTTGGATGAGTTCGAAATCGCATGTGGAACTAGGTCACCGGAGCTAAAAATAGAAAAATCTTGTTAACACTCTAGTTGCTACTGTTTTGATCCAAGTATCCTTGAAATTGGTCTAAAAGTTTGTTTTGATGATTTCTAGGTCAAGTTTGAATATGTGTCACCTGGGTAAAAAACTAGGTCGCACTGCTCAAATATGGATAATCCTTGTTAACACTGTAGTGGTCACATTTTTGACTCACCTGTCATGAGACTTGGTCAGAATGCTTGTCTAGGTAATTGTTTGGATGAGTTTGATAAATCAGGTGAGCGATCTAGGGCCATCATGGCCCTCTTGTTTTAATTTACCTAATTATTATGGCCCTTTGTTTTTTCCATGTATGGAATATAAAGTGAACATTTTCTTCTTTGTGAAACTACTCCTACATTTCTGAAGGGATTTGTTCAAACTTCACAGAAGCTTTGTCATCAAGTGCCCTGATGCATATTGCCGGGGCTGTGCGATTGAAAATTTTTTTTACCTTATAATGACCCTTTGTTTTTTCCATTAAATGTAGTTATTAGTGTAATATCCTTTTAATCACAACTACTATATTTAACCACTTATAACTTTATTATTATCATTGGACAGAAACCATCTAGTTTGATGCACAACTGCTAGCTCATCTGCCTTCTTCCTGTAGAGTCAGGGTCAAGGTCACTGTTACTTAAAATAGAAAATCTGTTTTCCTGTCAATAACTATAGTAAGGAATGTAATATTTCAATTAAAATGATGTATAGCAAGCTTATGTATATATCTTTCTTTTGATTGCTTTTGGGCCCCCTAGGGTCAATTTCAAGATCACTGTTACTAAAAATAGAAAATAGATTCCAGTCACTAACTAGAGTTTGGACTAAGATATTTTTTATGTAACTTGATGTAAAGCAAGCTTTTAAAAATACCTCACTTGGCATGGCTTTTGTGGCCCCTAGGGTCAAGGTCACTAAAAATAAAGGGTCAAGTTTACTAAAAATAGAAAATCGGTTTTTGGTTAGTATCTAAAGTTTGAAATTAGATATTTAAATGAAACTTGGTATATAGCAAGCTTTTATGAATGCCTCGCTTGGGATGGCTTTTGAGCCCCATAGGATCAAGGTCACTGTTACTAAAAATAGAAAATCAGTTTCAGGTCAATGTATAAATTTTGGATTGAGATATTTCAATGCAACATGATACATAGTTAGCTTTATGAAGATCTTGCTTAGATTTGCTTTTGGGCCCCTAAGGTCAAGGTCAGTTATTAAAAATAGAAAATAAATCATTTTCAGGTCAATAACTAGAGCTTGGAAAGGGATATTTCAGTGAAACTTGGTGTATAGTAAGATTTTGAGAAGATCTCCTTGGGATTGCTTTTGTGTTTCATAGGATCGAGGTCAAGGTTATTGTTACTAAATATAGAAAATCAATCTCTGGTCAATAACTAGAGTTTGGAATGTTAATCCAGCAAAACTTCAGATTCTTGATATGAATGGCACTACACTGACAACAATTGATGGTAAAAACATTTTTAAACTTACACATTATGTCATGTGTAACAGAAGTTCTATCTATGTATCTGACAGTTGGATGAACATAGTTACAAGATTAAACTGGCAAGGTGAAGTGATTGGTGGATGTAGTGGTATGGGTCAGCCTGTTGGAATGTCACTGTCAGATGATTGTACTGTCTTTGTGTGTGACTTAAAGAAAAATGTTATACAAGAGATAACAAGAGATTGTTGTGCAGGAAAGGTGGTGTTGAAGGATCTGAAAAGTCCATATGCTGTATGCTGGTGTGAGGAAACAAAGAAGCTGTTTTTCAGTGGGTGGCATAGAGATGAGAAAATTGACAACTTTTTCCACATCTATAAACAATCATAAAGTTGAGCAAAGATTACATGAAACAATATAAACTGTTTTAATGAAACTTGTTTTAAATTAAGCTTCTGCGAAGTTCTAAATATAGAAAATCAGTTTAAGGTCAATAACTAAATTAAGGAATGAGATATTTTTATTACATGCCCCCCTCCAAATTTCAACTTATTACTTAACTTCAGAACTTTCTACAATGGTGATAATTGAAAACCTGGTTTCATGGCATTGCCATGTTTCTTGTTTATTTTCATCTAATAATGCCTATCAAAGTGTTAATGATGAGTGCACAGGTAAATTACAAATCAATTTGTTTAGTTTTATATTTAAATAGGCAAGTGATAAATAATCCAGGTCACCCACTGAATTAGGCCCCTTCCCCTACCTGTAAGCCCTATCTATTAAATTAAAGGCAATTAAGTAATAGTTATCGTATGAGGAATAGGTCTGCATAGTATGTACAGACCCAGGTGGCGATTTGAAGACCGAGAGAGCATAGCGATCAAGGTTTTTAAAAGGCCACCAGGTCTGTAAATACTATGCAGACCTATTAATATTTTGATAGAAATAAAAGATATTTACCTCGTTTAATCCTAGAAATTGTTACACAGGTTTAAAATCATAATGTTTCACTCTAACTAATGTAAATATTTTGTGCCCTGTTGAATCTGTGGAATTTGATATTTACTTCCTTATTTTTTATCAACCTTCATCTCCATCAGTACATGTATACAACTTAAATCTGAAAAATGGTAGTCATTTGTAAAGGAAGTACAATGTACTAGTAGTACCTAATGTAGGTACAATTATGAATTTCCAGTTTTGATGTAACATATTAAGAATCAAAACATTGAAAAAAAGTCAATGTCAAATATGAAATAAGAATTATTTTTTACAAGAAAATTAAGTTTCTTACAAGTACTCTTTACTACAATAGCATAAGCTACTGGCATTCAGTTTGGAACTGATTAATTATGTTTTTCAAATTGATTATTTCAGCATTAAATTTGTCATTGAAAGCAACCCCAACAAAGAAACCTGTTAAAAATGAAGTCAAGGTAGAGAAACTGACAGAAAGTCCGGAAATGACCAAAAATGATAAGACACCTGTCAAACACAGCACATTACAAGATAGATCTAATGTTGTGTATGTTATTTACTTATTTAGTTTTCTTTATTATTTATAAAATGTTATTAATGCTGTCATTTTCTGTATATAAGAATAATAATTAGTGTGATTTCCTTGTTTGACAGTAAGTGCCATTTTCTTATTTGACATAACATTTTTGTCAGTAGTCATCATTTCCTTATTTGACATAACATTTTTGGTAGTAGGCATCATTTCCATCATTTTCTTTATCCATTTTGTATCATATCCTTATTTGACATGAAATTTCATTTGTAAGTGTACCATCCTCAAGATGACTTAATAGTATATGAATTAATATTGTATCTGATATTTTATAATCAGATAACTATACAAGATTGTTGACCCTTAACCTGTTGACCTTGTGTAAGGGAATTGCTCTGCTTTGAATTTGCAACAGTCTGTTCAAAGTTTAAGGGGGGTCAGTATCAAAATGCAAAAATCATGCTACCAACAGTATAGAACCTGGTCACACTGCACTGCTCACCTTGCTGTGCAAAGGCTGATCACTTTTGGTCTAGCAGTTAAGAATTAAATGAAAGATATTGATGTATAAAATAACTTTACAAAAAGTTACATCTACATAACAATGAATATTGAAACAAAATACTTCATTGTTTAACATATTTCATAACAAAATCTTTGCATATAAATTGTAGATATGTCCACTCAATATGCTGGGCAGTTATGGTAACACATAATCAGGGCATTTTATTGTTTCCAGATGTGAAGTATGAATGCTGTAAAAAAAAAAATGTTCAGAATTATACACATTGTGAATGATGTTCAGTTTTTATATTGTATATTTAAATAACATTTGTGTAATATTTGTGGAGTGTTCTTTGTAACATTTGTGTTATACTTGTGTAACAATGTTTATAATTTCAGTGATATGAACCAGCTTGTGTCATGCGAGATGTTCACGAGTTTAGGTAAAATGCAGCCATACACTGTTTCCATGTCAACCAACTCATTACTTCTGATGGTAAGTTCTGTAATTATAACATCATTGTTGTAAAAATCCATGCTGGACAGCTGAAGTAAATTGTGTAGATTTACCATACTAAAAAGCAAATTTATACCATGGTGATTATCATAAGTATTTAGTAATTTCTACTTTATCTTTTATATAATTGTCCAGTTTGCATTGATTGGGTCGCAAATGAGATGACCCAGGTTTTATTTAGGCCACTTTTGTTGTGATTGATCATAAAATCCTTTCTACAGTCATTTACATTCTACCTGTGCTCTGCTGTGGCATGTGCAAAAGTTGAAGGCTTTAGTACTGGTAAATTGCTTGACAACCTGCCCAGGAACGATGCAGTGGCTGAACTGTGACTTAAAGCTGTGATCCAGATGTTAAACTACCAACACCACCTCCAATCTTTTGTATAACTTATGGGTGTCACTTTAAGTAGGTGATCTTCAACATCATCATCATATATGACAGGTTCCACCATAAGATAGTTAAATAAAAATATATATATGTAAAAAAAACAACTAGAAAAGTTACCCAACATTGCAAAAATGAAATTGTTGAAGGCTCACTTTGTGTGGATCCATGCATGTATCTGCATCAGCTGAAATAAGAGTTCAGCATTTCAATATTTGTGGTATTATTGAAAATTAAGATAAAATTATTGAAGTATTTAACCTAGTCATGTTTATGTATAGTTACCTTTTCAGATTTATTCTGTTTTCTTTTCTTCTTTTCTTTCTTAGTGATATTATTCATTTTAGAAATATCAGTTTTTTTTCATGTTATTTTCCAGGATTTTCATTGTCACCTGACAACAAGTGAAGTAGTTGGTTATCTTGGAGGAAAGTGGGATCAAAGTGCTCAACGTATGTCAATATTGACTTACATTAATATCATTTTATTTCTAGAGGAATTTATATCTTAACTCTAATGAAACAGCTATTTTATTGGGATGAAATTTTATCTACATACAATTAAGAATAAAAAGTCACAAAACAACACAATTTGTCAAGACAAGGTTTACATTTATTAACTTCTTCTTTTGTACTTTAGACATAAAGTTAAGGTAATCAATTCTTTTATTACATTTTGCGATCATATTAAACCTTAAAATACACAAAACATTAAGATCATAAATTGCTTAATTGCATTTGAAATATGATTCTTGAAATGTGATTTATTGTCTAGCCAATTTCTCATCTTCAGGAAATACATCATTATAATGAATGCTAAATAAGGAGGCATAAAAGATTGGTAAAATGAGAAAATACTTGAAATTTAAAGTTCTACAGACTAGACTTATAAACACACCAGTTTTATATGCCTGATATTTTACGCTTAACCTTCTGAATTTGTGCTATGGATTAGCTCATGTATAAATTTGACAATCTGTATAAATTTTAAGGGATTTGAATAACAAAATACAAAAAATGAGCTACCAACGTGGTCAGATTGCTCTATAGTCAGACTGATGGCTTGTAACTTCAGGTTACGGGTTTAAACATTCCACTTTATTTGAAGCCTGATGGTAAATAATTATGGCATTGTTACAGATTTGAGTGTTCAACAAGCATTTCCATGTCGCTGCCGACTGAGTGATTCCCATAATGCAGCATTGATAGAGGAAGAGGTTTGTTTATGTCTGTTTGTTTAATTTTATTCCTGTTACCTATTTTCAAAATAATATTTTATTCTGTAGGACTTGATTTTTGATAGAATCAGATATCTTGAATATTAGAAATGAGGGTTTTTTGTTGTTGTTTTTTTTTATAAATGTGACTTTGATCTGTAAATGCTTTCACTGATGAAACATGATTTATTTCATATTATATTTATACAGATACGAAGTAACATGAAACACCTGGGAATGTCATTGGTCGGTTGGTACCACTCTCATCCTTACTCTCTACCGGAACCATCCGTCCGTGATCTAGACTGCCAAATGTCATACCAACTGAAAATGAAAGGTGCAAAGTCAACATACTTCCCTTGTGTTGGAATCATTAATTGTAAGAACTGTTTTATTTTTTCAGTGATGAAATATTAAGAGATCTTTTATACAGTCATCCTTTTAAAGTAGCCACAAAGTATTGATTTACAATTATTGTTGGATCATAGACAAGACAAATAGTCCATAGGCCAACTGTTGCCCAATCCAATTATAAGAGAGCTAGAGAATCATTTGATCTACTGGCTCAACTTTGGTGACCTATAGATGACCTTTATTTTTTGTCAGATGGTCAAAGATCAAAGGTCAAGAATGTAGTGATCAACATCACAGTTGTGAGAGGAACTCTGACAGTGTACACTACAGAAACAAATATATTAACATCAATATTGGGTCTATCTAGAAAAGGGTATATCTTTGTTCTTGTATTTACTAGCAAGAAAATACTACTATTAAATGAATGTTATTGTACATTGTAGCACCATATTATAGACAGTCACTGAAAACAGAATCTACAGTACAAATGTATATGGTTATGCCACCACTTGAGGTAAACTTATACAATCTTATCACTTTATTTACATTCCTTGTTTTCCTTGTCTTCCTCTAGAAAATTAACTCTTAATCTCTTGAATTTGTGTAATAGATTTGCCCTGCTTTAAATTTGGAATAGTCCATTTAAAGTTTCTGGGATTTCAATATCAAAATACACATGTATATAAATTGAGTATAATGCCTGGTCATACAGCACGGATGTTCAGACCAACTTGGCTCTTTATCAAATACATGTACTGCTTTTGAAACTGCGTAAAAAGGTCTTGCACATCCGTGCATATAGTTTGATGTTATTCGAGTTATACAAACATAGCGAAAAGTCACGCTAATGTTAGCGTTAGACTATAGGCATGCAATAGCATAGAAGGATTATTTTTACTATGTGGGTATGTGATAAATAGAATATTATATTCCTGTAGATTCATTTCTTAATTTATTGATTTTGTTGAATAAAATAATATTATGCTTGCCAGAGATTCGCATAATATAATTCTATTTACAACTCTTTCAATAAATTCAGTATAGAATATACACTCATTTAATATCCTCTATTTATTGGATGCAAAGCATAATCACTCAGTCCCAGCAGTTTAAGGGCTAACACAGAATGGTATTTTCTTATATATCAAATTATTGGCCTATTTTGTTAATATTCAACTTTGGTATTATTATGTATACATGTAATTTTGATACAATTATTGAAAATCTTTCGTTTTCAATAAATATACTATCAACTAATTATTATATGATTTTTTTTCTCTGATAACTTCAGATGACTCAGTTATCCTGTTATGTTTTATTAAATATCATAACATTAAATATGATGAAGAGTTGTGTGATAAATTCTATAATCAAAGGTAAAAATATTTTTAATGTCATTTCAATCTGTGTTTTTATCGTTTTTTTTTTTTTTTCAGACATCAAAAACAGATTATGGTATCCCAATGTCTTTAAAGTACTCAGTGAAGCAGAACCATTCAGTTAGTGAAGAACTTCTTGCTGAAATGGTATGTGTGTGTGTTTACCTCATCAGGGTAAAAAAATAAAAGTTGCCCTGGTCTGTCTTGTTATGCAGTGTCAATATTAAGGCAATTATCATTCCAATTTTTTTGCTCAGTATTTTCATTAACTTTTGTTATCACTTTAGCAATTTAAGAAAAATCTTGTTTTTACTGCTGCAAAACCAAGGAAAACTTTGTCACCATTACAGCAAACTTTAGGAAAATTATGTTACCACAAGAATGATTTTAAGAAAATTGTACCTCTAGGAAAAACGTTAGTAATACAAGAGCAAATATAAGAAAATATTTGTAAGCACAAGAGCAAATATCTATAAAACAATATAAGGAAACAATTCTTACCTATAGAACAAAAAATAAGAAAAATCTTGTCACCAGTAGAACAAATCTAAGGCAATACTAGATGAGCTAAAAAAACTTGAAAACAATGAAGAGCCCTCATGTTTTAATCTGAACATATAATTATTTCCTATTCACAGACATTATTTATTATTTTGTTTTTTATTTTCAGAAAAAGTTGGTTGATTTTTACAAAGGGGCACCTGACTGGATATCATTTGAGCATTCCTGGCACCCAAGTGTTACATACCTAGAAAAATTAAAGGTAGGTTTTTAAATGATATACCCTACTTGCTTATTATACCCCCGAAACAAAGTTTGGGGGGGGGGTATATAGGAGTCACCTGGTGGTCGGTCGGTACAGCGGTCCGTTGCATTTTCCTTGTCCGGAGCATAACTTGAAGACTAATGGTTGGAATTCAATACAACTTTATACATGGGTCAAGCACAATCAGGGGAAGTGCAGTGCACAAGAACCATAACTCTATCTAAAGTAATTACAGAGTTATTACCCTTTGTTTCTTTTCCATTGCTTTTTTTGTCCGGACCATAACTTGATGACTAATGGTTGGAATTCAATATAACTTCATACAATGGTCAAGCACATTGAGAGAAAGTGCAGTGTACAAGAACCATAACTCCATTTTGACAAATTACAAAGTTATTGCCCTTTATTCCTTTTTCCTTGTCCGGAGCATAACTTGAAAAGTTCTGGTTGAAATTCAAAACAACTTCATAAAATGGTCAAACACAATAAGAGGAAGTGCAGTGCACAAGAACTATAACTCTATCTAGAGTAATTATAGAGTTATTGCCCTTTGTTACTTTTCCATTGCTTTTTCTTGTCCAGAGCATAACTTGAAAACTACTAGTTGGAATTCAATACAATTTTATTCAATGGTCAAGTATATTGAGAGGAAAAGCAGTGTACAGAAACCATAACTCTTTCTTGACTCATTTAAGAGTTTTTGCCCTTTGATACTTTTTATTGTCCAGTGCATATCTTGAAAATTAATGGTTGGAATTCAATGAAACTTCATAAAATGGTCAAGTTTAGTGAGATGAAGTGCAGTATACAAGAACCATAACTCTATTTGGACTTATTACAGTTATTGCCCTTTGTTACTTTTTTTGTTCAGTGCATAACTTGAAAACTAGTAGTTGGAATTCAATACAACTTCATACAATGGTCAAGCGCAATGAGAGAAAGTGCAGTGTACAACAATCATAACTCCATCTTCAGTATTTGTAGAGTTATTGCCCTTTGTTTCTTCTTCTTGTCCGGTGCATAACTTAAAAACTAATATTTAGAATTCAATACAACTTCATACAATGGTGAAGCGCAAACAGAGGAGGTGCAGTGCTCAAGAACCGTAACTCTATCTGGTTTTATTACAGAGTAATTCAATTATACTTCATCAATTGCCAACCACATTGAAAGGAAATGCAACATACAAGAACCACAACTATCTTTAATTGTCCACAACTGTAAATCTATTTCAATTCTGTTACAAGGTATTCTGTTACTAGTAACTTCCTCATTTCCGAAGCAGTCTTGCGGAGTTTAATCACATTTAGTGATAGTTTTAGTTATCATAGATGAGTGCTCATTTTATTCTGTTGAGCCATTCACCCAGCTATAATATGTCTATCTATTCTTACCTGGATTGAATATAATGTTTATTATATATATTCCTGAATTCTTCCAATAAAAGAGACAATAATGGTGGTTGTTGGTTTTTTTTTTGTAGACCTCACTAGGGAATAAACTACCAGAGGACCAACTTGACAATGGAACATTCATGGAATTTGTTCAGCATGTGTTGACATCTTAAAGAAGTTCAGATTGGTGCCACGAGTACACATAGATATTCACTTTGTGTCTCTAGAATGTTCAATGTGTCTCTAGAATGTTCCATGTGATTCTGGAATGTTCCATGTGAACCCATTGGAAATTTGGTTTTACAGCAATGAGAAAGTGCAATATGAAGCAAGTGCTACAATAATTACAGTTTGTTTCGTTTGAAAGAAGAGTAAAAGAGTTTCCTTAGACTATCAGTAGATGAGGAGAGATAAGTTAAGCTGCCATGTTTTAGTAAGATATGTGTTAGTTATTGCTGCACACAGTCACTAGGGAGTGATGTGTGGATATATATGAAGATTGTCTGACACTCCTACCACTTCTATACTGACATTAAATTTATTCAGTACTGATACACACTGTTTTGTGTTATTTTTTTTTCATGAAAATCTTTCACACATTTCTAAGGATGTTAAATCTTTGTATTGTATTAAGGAATTTAATTTTTACATTGAGTCTAGTAGAGGTACTGTGTACCATTAGTTTTTGATACATTGTATATGTTGTAAGAAAAAAATATTGATTTACACAGGGATTTGTACATGTACCTGTGTAGCTATATATGTTGTTAAATAAATAACACAGACACTTCATTTAGCAACAAAATGTACACAAAAAGTTAATGTTTTATTTTGTGTTTTTAGCTCACCTGTCACAAAGTGACATGGTGAGCTTTTGTGATCACTTTTCGTCCGGCGTCGTCCGTAAACTTTTACTTTAAACGACATCTCCTCATAAACCACTAAGCCAATTTCATCCAAACTACATAGAAATATTTCTGTGGTTATCAACTTTAAAAATTGGTTTAATGCAAAACTCTGGTTGCCATGGCAAACGAAAGAAAAAATTAAAAAATCTTCTTTTAAAAAACCGAAAAAGCTAGAGCTTTAATATTTGGCATAAAACATCGTCTAGTCAGTGTCTACCAAGTTTGTTGAAGTAAAAGCCCTGGGGTCAAAATTGGCCCCCGTCATTGATTTTCCTTATTTTTATATAGTAAAAACTTAAAAAATCTTCTTTTAAAAATCTCAAATAGCTAGAGCTTAGATATTAAGCATGAAATATTTTCAAGTGGATGTACCAAGTTTGTTCAAATAAAAGCCTGGGGTCAAAATTTCCCCTGCCCCAGGGGGTCATTGTTTTTCCCTTTATGTATATAGTAAAACTTAAAAGATCTTTTTTTTAAAAAACAAACAAAAAAAAACCAAAGAGCTAGAGCTAAGATATTTAGCATGAAGCATCTTCTAATGGGTGACTTCCAAGTTTGTTCAAATAAAGGCCATTGGGTTAAAGTTTACCCTGCCCGGGGGTCATTGATTTTCCTTATATGTGTATAGTAAAAACTTGCAAAATCTTCTTTTAATAAACCCAAAGACCTAGAGTTTAGATACTCGGCATGAAATATCTTCTAGTAAGTGTCTACCAAGTTTGTTCAAATAAAAGCCCTGGTGTTAAAATTGGCCATGCCAGGGGGTGGGCATTGTTTTTCCCTATATGTGTATAAAATCTTCTTTCCCAAAGAGCTAGAGCTTCAATATTTATCATGAAACATCTTCTAATGGGTTTCTACCAAGTTTGTTCAAATAAAACCCTGGTGTTAAAATTGGCCCCGCCCCGGGGGGGGGGCCTATATACAGGTGAGCGATTCAAGGCCATCATGGCCCTCTTGTTTTACATGAACTGTCATATAGTTATATAGAACCATATACTAGTTCTTTAACACATGTATGATATTAATAATGACTAGTAATTTGGCAGGTGACACCAGGTTTATGAATTTGTTCTATATGTATTTATAATTCAACATATTCATATTGTAATAAATGTATATTAAATGATAAAGTAATGCTGAACCGTCTTTGGGTATTATCTTCACAATTCCATATCAAATAAAAGACAGTAACATGTTAAGTTTTGAAGTCCCTGAATTAAGAACTAGGCATATGAAGCAGTTACTTTGGGAAGTTTGTCATCAGTTACCTATGCATGTATTTAACTGACATGTTCTTGAAAATGTAATTGAGAAATAAAAACAATGAAATATTGGTACACACGATTTGAGAGATGTTTAACAATGAATTATTTGTGGTATTTAGAAAGATGCTACTTTGGTAAACATCATCAAATCAGAGCAACGTTCCTTGAATACAGCCATTATGCACTTGTCCGTTTAAACCCAGCCGTGGTTACAAATTTTAGTGCATTAGCAATCCGAAAATGTCAAATAGTGTCCTAATCTAACATTACTTGTGTATATAGCCGTAGAATGTAGACTACACAACACTATATTAGATTACTTCTATTATTGACACTCCGCCCATTATAGGTAGACGGATCCCATAAATGTTCAATATTTGCTGGGTGCTGTTACAGACATAATGTAAATACTCTCCATGACCACTCCTGACAAATGAACACGGCGTTCTTCCAAATAAATGATTATGTCTGGATGTTCAACAGGGTACTAAGTACGGGGTAATTTTAAAACATTTCTATTCCCGTCCTATTTTTTTTCCTGGTATATGCTCTTGGTGTCGTGTAGGAACAGTATTTTGCTGTACATTTTCTTTTAAGATTTTAATGTAATGTATTTAAAGTATATATTGTAATGAAACTAGCATTAAGCCTTACAGAAGATCGATGGTTCTACTCGGTGCAGGCTAGAGTGGTCTATCTTACCCAGTTAAGCTGAAAAAACTTCCGTATGACCTTTTAGTGTCATTGTGGCCACCGGTTATGGGTGTGGGACCAAGCCATACCCCATGGGACCCTCCCCCAGGGACCGTCTGTACTACCCAAATATTCGTCAACTCATTCAAAATGCATGTCAATACAAATCAAACAATTCTAACAAAAAGAGTAGTATAGAAGGTATTCAGTTCTTGGTCCCACGGCAATATCCTGTTATTGTGGGATAAAACTTGACCCAAGAAATGCATGTCATACAAATGACAGTCTTAACTTATGTTAGCATTACTATAGAAAGTAAAAAGAAAGTACGCAGTACGTAATACTCCTTGATAAAGGTAATGTCTCAGATTCTGTGATAAATGTATTACTCGCATTTTGGAAATTTGCTTCAGGAATATTGCATATTTGACATTTTGTGGTGTCGTATTTCTTGAAATTATTTTGATCATAAAAAGGCAATCAAGGTCTTCACGATTTTTTTTGTCTCGGTGACTTCTTCGATATAAAAGGAAAACAAATCTTATTTCAAGATAATTTATCTGGTAGACGTCTTAACTAGCACAGCTAAAATGCTTTGTTAAAAGAACGGCCATTTGTTTATAGGGAATTATTTGAGGTATACATAGCAATATTTCTATTTCCAAGTTCAAAGTGATTGACTTTACATTATATCAAAAAGAATTTACACCATCTTAATACGCGCAATTGTGTACGTTTCATCGAAAATAGCTTCACGTAAACCACACAGTGTAAGGGTCAAAATTTAAATATGAATGTATACGTTTTTGATGTGCTGTCAGAGTCCATTCCCCTTTTTTGCTGATTTTAGTGCTGCGTAACTTTCATTTCGTCCATCTTGAAGCGACAGGACACAACATTAAAGGATAATGCATGTATCAACATAATACAAACCAGGTGTGTACGTTTTTTAAAGATTTATCAGTATATTCCTCCTTCAGATTAAAAACATCAATTTCAAATATATGAATATGCTTGAATTATTTAAATATATAATACACAGAAACAACAAATGCTATAATAAATAAATTATCAATAAAATACATGTATCTTGAACAAGGTGTAAATATAAGTTGCTCACAGGATAACCGGCTATGGGGAAACCCGGCGGAAACAAACGGCGATTGTCTTAGAATGCAAGATGGTATTTGATTGTGGATGGTATTGGGTCGCCTAAGCATTGGGTTGCAGGTGGTATAAGTTCGTGGATGGTAGGTAGACTTAGATTGCAGATGGATGATATTGAATGGTAAATAGACTTGCAGATGGTATTGGATGGCAGATGATAATATAGCACAAGTGTTATTGGCAATGATGATGTGGAAGTTTAGCATACGTTCAACGTGATAGTTCCGTTAAGAAAGCATGTTTTACTGTAATCAATTAAGTTCCACACAGTGGGTAAACGAAATCTCTACAATGTCTTGCAATCTTACACAATTAAATGTGTACCATCACTGTATCTCTCTTTGAACCCTTTACCTTTCTTGCCAAAACATTAAGTAGATTCGTTCCTTGCTAGAGTTGTACGTTGTGTAATAACTAACATAACATTTTTAGTCGGAAATACGAGGCAAAGATTCTACGTACGTAAAAGTGTTGATTTTTTTTCTTTTAAATACTACTAATCAAATATCGATTTTAAAAGAACAATATTTGAACATGTGTGTGGAAATGCGGAATTTAAGGAATTAAACTTAAATTTAACTTGATATCTTTACACAACTTTCTTTTTTATTTTAAAGACACTGGCAGTATATTTTTATTTTACATTGTTATTTTTTTAACATTATTTTACAAACTGTAACAAATGTACTTCCAATAAGAATTTTATTTACAAAATGATCGATTTTGTCATCAAGAACACAACCTGTCTATTTGATCAGCAATGAAACATTTCCATCTTGTTGTCAGATAGCGTATATAAAAGTACGGTAACATTTAGTTGCTGGTTGGTACAGTTTTTACTATTTTCTTTATTCCAATTTGAAGCCATGTTCGATTTCAGATATGTTTAATTTAAAATAAACATACATAATTCAAGTTTAGTTTTATGAAAATGTGTAAATATTCTATAAGACTTACAGAAACTGTATTTTTTCTTCTTAAGATAAAATGTGGAAAGATTTTTAGCAAAAAGTATTCCTGTTGATTAACGAACATGAATACATACTTAAACAAGATAAAAATTCCTTCACAAATGGGTTCAGCGATGATTTTGTGAATGCGCCAAACGCTACTTCCGAAATTGATTGTTTTCTTTCAACTTTGGTGTTTTGGTGAGATCTTAACTTATGTCAATTAGCCTGGTACTGACCAGATTGCTGGCTTACTATCATTAGATTTTCATCTTCATTGGCTGTTACAAAAACTGAAGTCTATATTTAAGAAACTCAGCAGATTTAGGCTGAAGATACAAACAAATATTCCACCATTAAAAGACAACCCATTAATAGCTTTTTATCCTTCAAATATTTATATGCACTCGGGGGTTAGTTGTGAATAGATTGTGAATGATCCGGTATAGCCATGTATAGTTGATTTGTTACCGATGAGACTGGTACTGCTTGATCAAATAATAGCCCCAATAAGTTATATTGAATACTATAAACAACAACGGGAACAGAAGTCGTGCATATTTGTCTATGACATTCACATCCCTTACTACGGGCAACTTAGGTTTCAATATTTTAGCTGTTTGTTTGACAGTAGACAGAAGTTTCCTCTTCTGTACAAGGTTTCCATTTCGCCTTCTGAGCAAAGAATTTGGGGTATATCCTTTAGCAACACAAGTTCGCGGAAGTACTGGCGCCATTCTGATAACTGGTGGTTCATTTGTTACTTCTGTCTCAAAATTAAACACATGTTGGTACGATTTACGGATGGCGGGTAGAGGTGAAATGTTTATGTTGTTTGCCTCCTCTATGCAGGTTTCTTGTTCCTGTTGTAACAGTAAAAAAATATGTAACTTATAATATAAATTTTAGCATAACTTTATTTTGTCCAAATAAACATTTCTTTACATAACTTCTTTTGATAATATTCGAAAATCGAAAAATAAAGGCCTATTTTGTACCAGTTTTTTTGCCAATGTTCACAGTTAATCGCTGTTTGATGAGATATTTTAACTTTTGTATATTTGGTAGAAGGTGAAATAAATAAAAGATATCTGTCATTTTGCCAAGCACAAACTATAAAGTATGTATATAATTTGAATGTAGCTTTATAGTAAAATAATATATGAGATATCTTTATTCTGTTTGTAACATTCCCTATAGATTTATTTATAGCAATTTATTAATCAATCAAAAAATAAAGAGAAAATTATTCGTTCGTAAGAAAAGTTAGATATAAAAGATGATCTTCTCCAATCTCAGCATTTAAAAGTAAATGTATATTCAGTGGCACAAGTCATAGAGTTTAAAAAGCAAAATGTTCTACCATTTTAAGGGATGGCCCAAACTCCAAATGTATATCCTCCACTTATAAGAATATTCAAGTAGGTAAGAATTACTGTCAAGTGCATTTAAAGTTTGCATACAGGTGTCCATAAAGGCAAATACTAGTAACTGACTTTCGTTGCCTTTTTCTTTTTTTTCTTCTTTTTTTTTAAATCCTGATATTGCCCATTAAGGGGTCATACCCTCAATTAAGCGTACTGGTTATTATAAAAAATGTCTGATGATTACTTACCATTTTTTTAATTAACTTGAATTTAGTTGACAAATATATATATGAGCCGCGTCATGACAAAACCAACATTTCATTTTCTTTCTTTTTTTCTTTTTTTTTAGTTCCTGATATGACCCATACCCTGAATATAGCGTACTGGTTAATAAAAAAAATGTCTGATGATTACTTACCATTGTCTTTAATTAACTTGAATAAAGTTGACAAATATATATATATGTGTGTTTGTATACGAGATTTCTTGCCGTTTTAGAAGATCAATTGATTTGTTTGTTTAAATCTTAAAATAACAACCCTCCTCAAATCATATTGCTTTTGTTTACACATATTATTATCATTGATAGCATGCGTTTATTACTTTACTTTTATTTTGTATTCTCAACTCTATATAAGTGGATCTTTACCATTTCTTTAGAATTTCTGTCAATCCCTGGACCACGTAAGATATTGGTTGTTCCTCCGTCCTTGACTTTCTTAGCTTTTCGTTTTGCACGTGCCCCCCAGTATGTGTAGTTTACAGCTGCATATTCTAGTAACGCGGCAAACACAAACACAAAACACATTACAAGATAAATGTCTATAGCCTTGATGTATGATATACGTGGCAGGGAAGATCGTACACCATTACTGATTGTAGTCATGGTTAACACTGTTGTTATACCTGTAAACATAAATAATAAATTCACATCTGTTTTACTACCCGTATTGTCAACCCATTTCTTTAGAAAACGTACCATTCACATCCAAATCATATTCTGATACATTTACCAAAACCATTTTTTACATAAAAAATGTTTGTACATAAAAACGTTTTCTTATCATCTCATCAAATATTTTGGTTGTAAGATAGGCTTTCTTTCCATTAAAACTATTATGACTGTAAAAGAGGGCTATTTCAAACTTCCATTGAGAATTTTTTTTTCTATATTTTATACAACATAGGCACCTTAAACTTATTTTTATGAAGGAATTATTGCTTTTTCAAGTACATGTATTAACTATAACGTATGCACGCATTCATCTAACACTTATCCCCGTATGATAAATATCATTTTCCCGATGTCCTTCTGTAATCTGATGAAGAACTAGAGATATACTGTTCAGACTTGGACGCTAAACAAATATCTTATTTGATAGACAATAATGAGTCACTCTATCATTATACAGACGAGGAAGTAAGCACGAGCTAGATGTGACATACACAGTGGGAAATGTTGACAATTACCTAGTGCTACTCGTGCTGACGTCGCTTCATGATTGATCCAAAACGAAACCCAAGATAACATAACGATCAGTATAGATGGTAGATACGTCTGGAATACAAAGTAGCCAATATTTCTCTGTAGCTTGAAACTAAGAGACAATCGCTGGTATTTTCCTGAAAGAAATAAATATGCTCATATTTGTAGAATGTGTTTTCTTCCTAGATAATTTTTGAAAAAAAACTCTTTCAGTCCTACAAAATGAGTGGCGATTTTCATTAAGGAAGAAGAAAATCATTTCCAGATTCCCTTTTTGGGGTCAATGTCAATGTAGAGGTTAGAAGATATATATGGCGAGCGTCTTCAAGTTTGTCGTACGCTAATCCTAATCTCTGCAGACAACATACGATTTTATGCCTAAACTACTTCGATATACATTTTGTAAAATATTTAATAAGGAGCCTTATAGAGAGTCTATCACACTGACTGACATAAAAAGACGATTAAACATGACTAAAAAGTTATAAATCTTCTACATTTAACGCTTGTATCATATACGCAAACACGACCATAAAAAAGCCTGTATTGCTGGCGTTATATTCCAATTTTGTAATTGATTGTATTTGGCTGTCAATGATTTTATTAGAATGGTTCACCCTCCGTGCTTCCGCGCCCCATGAGACCAAAGCTTAATAAAATCCACTCGAGTCAAATAAAACTTCCAGATACTTCGATCTATGCTAATCTTTTTATACCAAGCCAAAATAATTGTTTGTATCATGATCAGAAATAAACCAATGGTCCTAAAATTGAAAGAACGCTGTTCGTTTATTTCATTTCTGTAAAAGTCAGCGGTACATGCCTAGAGTAATTTCTATTCCCCAATCTAAATAACATGGGATTATCCTGTCAGGAAACAATTTATTCAATTAACTTATAATAACCTGGAGTGTTAAATAACAGAGACACTTTCTGTCAAAAGTGTTTTGAGAAACGACCATGACCAAAATTATAGACATTATATTACAGTTTCTTGAAAACCATTTAGTTTACTTTGTAAATTATAGCTTTTCACTCTCAAACGATGACATAATTATACTGTATTTAAAATTTATACTTATCATTTGATTTAGATGGTGTTTTAATTATCGTTCAATGAATCTTAACATTAATATTGATAGAGTAAAACAATTATGTTCCAAAACATAAGCACATTGTGGCATTTTGTACAGCAGTAAAAATATAGTAAAATAGAAGAATAACTGATTTTTTTCAATGCATGAAATGGATGCACAATTAGATTTTATAACGGAATGAAAAGTCATTGGTGTGACAAAAAAGAAAGACATTTTTCAAAATATTCTGTAAAAATACATTACGTACTTTATGACGTCAGAATAATTGTTTGGTCTTTGTATTCGTTACTTGAACAAACATCACATGTGTAACTAATCATTCTTAGATGTAATGAAAAGTAATTTCGGGTATTTTGATAAAAAAACAACAGTTCTTTAATTAATCTACAACTGATTGAAGAAATATATATCTAAACAAGTCACCTGTTAATAAAGATTCTATTTTATTTATTGCTTTATATTCGACGACGTCAAACTGGGGCAATTCAACATTATCTACATTATGAACAGATTCAGTTCTCCAGTACAGTTCCACATCAGACATCGCATAGCCGTCTGAAAATATAATAAACCACTGTGTTAATATGCAAATAAAAATTTCCACCACTTTCCTGTAAATATGATGGTCTAAAGGTCCAGTATGCCATAATTTGATACACACGATTCTACCGTAATATGAAATGTAAATTTGATAATATAGCCACATTTTTAAAAATAAATTAACTAGTATCAAAGCGTATATCAAAATATAAAAATCATGCCAATTTATAAAATGATTCCCCACTTCAAACATGTCAAAGTTTTCAAAGTTATAACTTTATAGCAGTATTCCATCAATATCAAAGAAAATATGTTCTAAAGAAGATAAAGAATGGAAACTAAACTGTATAGAATTCAATCATTATTATTTATTTCTTATAAAGCCAACTGGGTACATGTACATACTTTATAAACATTACAAATCTTACATCTAATGTACTATAATATAATATTCTAACGATAGTCAAAATAGCTGATATTAAAAAGAAATAAGTATTCTGCTGTGTGTGTCCACCGAGAATAACAGTTTTGTATTTCTGAATGTTTACTGTTTAATATATTTTTACGTCTACTTATTTTGCTCTCGTTTGTAGGTGTAATAAAACGCTATGGTTTAAACACTGGCATTACTTATTTTACCCTGACAAGTTTAAATGCAATTCCTTTCTAAAGTGACAGATTTCATTTTTTAATTTCAATGAACCGTTACTCGTAAAATTACAAAGCCAGTTGAATGTTTCATAAGACAGCTTAGTAAAATATATAAAGCCAGTTAAATGTTTCAGAAGATATTTAGTAAATTATGTTGTCTAATTCATCAATGACATTTTTGACGGCGTTTCTGTTTTGCAGAATTTTCACACAACGCCAACAATTTACAATATAGACAAATATTTATCCTTCTCAAAAAGGTATGCCAGCATAAGATAAATTTAGATTAGAAGGAAACAAATGAAAGAAAAACATTATGAAAATGGGTGATGGTCATCATTAATTATTCAAATGATATCAGCCTATATTGGGATGTCTGTAATTACTGATAGATGCAAATACAATGCTAATTCAGTTTTTGTTGGGTATTTTTCCCGCCTATGAGACATGTTTGTTTTACATATTGCATTTAATATTTCGGTCGTACGTTAACCTTTTCCCGACTTATTTTGACTTGAGCTTAGTAATGTTTTACTTTCGAATTTCAACAGTAATTATAACCAAAATATTCCAATCAACAAAAATATACAAATCATGTTTTGAAATACATAATAAAAAACCCGGAGTTTTTCGCGCTTTAACGAAATTGAAACAACATTAAGTTGCTTTTTACTTTATGGAAGAACAACATAAATTTCGAGAACATATGTCATTTTACTGACATTTTCTCTGTCGATTTAGTGACAACTACATGCGTGAAATTGAAGAAATCGTCTACACAGATTTCTCTATATGTTTTATGATTGTAACCGTTAAGGCGGCTACAGCGCATGCAATGGGAACAAATCACTCGTAAACTATTGCATGTCTAAAACAATATCAGGGATTGCTCGCACCATCATATTGATATACGATACAAACAGTCTGTCATCTTAAATTAAACTGTCAAAATATACGCCAGGGGAAAAACTGCTTTATATAAATGTATATAAGCACTTACAACTTTCTATTTCTACCGTACAGTTCTGGACATCAAGTGGATAATGATGTAGATCCATCATACACGCTAATGTTGTCGTAAATCTGAAATAAGATGTAGACACACATCATAAGATAAATACTTCTATGATATTTTATATTTACAGACATCAATGATTTCAGCAAAGAGATAGCCGAGAAGAAAGCCGACTTCAGCGGGATGATAAAACATTTGCAAATGAAACTTTTCTTTGAAAGTTCTGCCAGACGAAATAGCTTCTTTGTGACTATGAACCCCAAGGTTTCTTTCTTGTTCAGTTTCGAAGAGGTCTTTTAAAAAAAATGTTTTTAATTATTTCACTTTGAACCAGATTTTTTTCACAGAAATTCAAAGTATTGAAACCATATTACATTATTTGTTGCAACAGAAATTGTTTCTAAGTAAATTAAAGGAAAATAGATGAGAGAAGTACGGGACTTATTTCTTGCAGACGTTGAGGAATAAAGGCTCCAAGACAACTAGATTGTCCTATCGAAAATATTCTAGAATTTCAAAAAGATAAAAACATTATGTAATTGAGCAGATGTTGGTTATAGTGGGGCCCCAAACTGTGTACACTGTTGTTAGTAATTTAAACAGTTATAAGAGATAATTAATACTATCATGAATAAAAAACAACAACAACAACAACAAAACGGCAAAACTGCAATTCCTTTGTCACCATTGAACTTCACAGGTTGCGTACTTTTGACTGACCAAATTTCAAACTTCATTGTGATACCAATAGGATTATGAAATGTTTCAAAATGGAAGTTATTGAGGAAATTTATTACGTTAAGTGAATGCAGATTGACGATTTGTGCATAATTTTCTTTGGACAAACACATTCACTGTGTTTGTAATACTTGAATAAAACGTTAATACTCAAATACTACTTAATTAATCAATTTATGCTAGAACAAGAAATACCTTTTTGTCCCAGATTTATGTGAAAAAATCGCAATATGACTCTAACAATGTTTGACTTAAAAGAAGTAGATTCCTCCAGATTCTGTAATTATCTAAAGATTTAGAGCGTGTTTCAAAAAGTGAAAAAATATGTCAATAGAAAAAGAGTAAATGACCAAGCAAGACACAATATACTCAAAATACACACAATGTGTCAATATAAAATTATGTATAGAAGTCATTATTACGTTAGAAACCGGGGCGTGATATGTAAGGCATTACATAGATTTTGGATTGTTGATTTTTATATACTTCCCAAATTCTATGTAGTTCTCTAAGTTTATTTTTTTCATTTTGAAACATTGTTCGCTCGTCTGGAGGTTGATTTTAAGTCTGATGTCTTACCTCATACCATAGATGATTGAACCGTTTCCAAAAAGTCGAATCATTTTGTTCTTTTCTGTGACATCATGTAAAAAAGAATTTTTATCATTGGCGAAAAATGTATCAGGCACCCAAATTTTCTCTGCGAAATCTCCTGAAATGCAATAAAATCAATGACAACAACGCAACTCCGACTTGTTTTTGTACTTAGAACTACAGGTTATCAAAATTACCTTTTAATTTTCTGTTTTAAAAAAGAAACAAGTTTTATCTATATACATATGCAAGAAAATAATACATAATATAGAAGTGATCGTTTATATTTCAACAGTAAATGAGTGGTAACAAAATTATATTACAGGATGCAAACATTTTGAATTTTTATATATCTACATATATATTATCTATTATCACTTAATCATCATGACACGTGGTAACATATCTGCTGGCATACATTTTTAATCAGACTAAGTACTTTTGACTCATTCTCATTTATATGCCATACGGGTTGTCGAAATTTTGGATATTTTGATGCCCATTGTCCAAAGTATAAGAATCTATTTTTCAATATTATCGAGGGCTTTGTTCTGATCATTATCTAAATTGATTCACTTCTCTGTCCATTTTTTTCTAGGAGGATAAAAGATGGAATAAACATCAACAAATTTTTTAACTTTCAAACTTTCTTCATATATCCTTTCTACGATTACGCTTCAACAGTGATGCAGTTTCTCACCACAGTCTACTGAATTATTTTCTCACTTCCAGTATGTCAAATCTTGTTTAAGTGAGATTAAACAGTGAATTATTTTCTCACTTTCAGTCTGTCAAATCTTGTTTAAGTGAGATTCAACAGAGAATTATTTTCTCACCTCCAGTCTGTCAAATCTTGTTTAAGTGAGATTAAACAGTGAATTATTTTCTCACTTTCAGTCTGTCAAATCTTGTTTCAGTGAGATTAAACAGTGAATTATTTTCTCACTTTCAGTCTGTCAAATCTTGTTTCAGTGAGATTAAACAGAGAATTATTTTCTCACCTCCAGTCTGTCAAATCTTGTTTAAGTGAGATTGAACGGAGAATTATTTTCTCACCTCCAGTCTGTCAAATCTTGTTTAAGTGAGATTAAACAGAGAATTATTTTCTCACCTCCAGTCTGTCAAATCTTGTTTAAGTGAGATTAAACAGTGAATTATTTTCTCACCTCCAGTCTGTCAAATCTTGTTTAAGTGAGATTAAACAGTGAATTATTTTCTCACCTCCAGTCTGTCAAATCTTGTTTAAGTGAGATTAAACAGTGACTTATTTTCTCACCTCCAGTCTGTCAAATCTTGTTTAAGTGAGATTAAACAGTGAATTATTTTCTCACTTTCAGTCTGTCAAATCTTGTTTAAGTGAGATTAAACAGTGAATTATTTTCTCACTTTCAGTCTGTCAAATCTTGTTTCAGTGAGATTAAACAGAGAATTATTTTCTCACCTCCAGTCTGTCAAATCTTGTTTAAGTGAGATTGAACAGAGAATTATTTTCTCACCTCCAGTCTGTCAAATCTTGTTTAAGTGAGATTCAACAGAGAATTATTTTCTCACCTCCAGTCTGTCAAATCTTGTTTAAGTGAGATTAAACAGTGAATTATTTTCTCACTTTCAGTCTGTCAAATCTTGTTTCAGTGAGATTAAACAGTGACTAATTTTCTCACCTCCAGCCTGTCAAATCTTGTTTCAGTGAGATTAAACAGTGACTAATTTTCTCACCTCCAGCCTGTCAAATCTTGTTTCAGTGAGATTAAACAGTGACTAATTTTCTCACCTCCAGCCTGTCAAATCTTGTTTGAGTGAGATTCAACAGTGAATAATTTTCTCACTTACAGCATATCAAATCTTCTTTTAAAAAAGTGAGGTTTCAACAGTGAACAATTATCTCACTTCCAGCCTGTCGTCTCTGCTGTGAGATAAAACAGTGGATCCGTGTGATTTGATATTACTTTTGTCGTTTTGTAGAGTAAAAGGATATCATAGACGTCACGTCTTTCACTTCACTTCAAAGCTTATTTGGGTGTATTTGACATTACTGTTCTACTGTAAATATTTCTACTATAGATGTAAAAGGATCATTGATAATCCGGTTTTACCAGTAATTTTATTTTCATGCGGTAAACAATCAATTATATCTACAATAAAGACATTTACAGCAATCCTCAAATGTAAATGTAACATTTGTGTACGGGCGTTGATTACCAAAGTACTTTCGTGACTTGGCTGACTACAGAATTAGAACGAATTTGATGTCGTGCTTCATTTCTTTCAATGCATTTAAAACAGAATCCCCATTTACTGTTAGCGGAAACTATCAAAACCAACCAATTCAACAAATGGCTTTTACAACGTAACATTATTCGCAGGTTCAATCACATTACTTGCTTTCAGTAATGGGAATGTTTGAAATTAATGCACACTTTAACTGATGTCGTCTGGGATTTGCTTTAAAGTGTTAAATGTGTCTTGCAATAATCAGAACGTTTACCCGTTTTACTTGTCCAAATATGACAAGAGTATCCAAGTCATTTGTTGAATTTCTTTAATCGACTTAACCAGTTTCCATCCTTGGAATTGTCCAGGCTGACCTGACTCTATGCTGGTGGCAAAGGATAATTACATTAGGTTCCAGTAGGTTGAGGGTTAATTCAATTCGTCATAATATAAGCTATCGAAAATGTTCCGAGTGAACGCAATAACATCCAAATATTTCAATATTCTTTATACAATGCAAGTTTCCAAAATGTTCTAGCTGAACTCATTGACATCCAATAATTCATCTGCCAGTAAATATCTGACTTTTAAACTTTAGAGGGATACGATTGTCTCAATTTCTCTAGTTATAGTTGACATAGCTCGTTGTTTCACTTAAACTTCAATTAGATGACATTACTTCATCTGCAAGAAGCTGACATTGTTTGGATTCTAGTCAGATGTTATTGATCTCGACAGCATTCCTTTAATTCAAGCTAGATAGAATTTCTCCGGAGATGACTTAAATCATATCTCACCCTGAATAAATTGCTTTTTGTCAGCTTGATAATATTATTCTCATTTTATATAGACGATATCGTTCCAATTCTATCTAGATGTCATTACTCCAATTCAAGTTATATGACATTGTCTTCATTCCTATAGTTGGCATATTTATAATACTAACTAAACGACTTTATTTTAATTTACAAATTAGTTATGATACTAATTGAGTTAGATTGGTCATATTCCAGTAAAGCAACATTTTTCTAATTCTAGGTCTGATAATATCAATAATTTCCAGACAGATGACATGGTTCCAATTTAAAAACCAGATGATAACTGTATAAACCCTTTTCAAATTTACCTCAGATTTCAATATTCGGATTCAAAAGTAAGGAATCTTTGCTTTAATTCTTGCTAGATGATATTAGGTAAATAATGTGACATTACTGAGAATCAAGTAACATGAGTTTGGTTAACTCATACTCGATGAAATTTTCCGGAATATTTTGCAATTCTAGTAAGAGCTAAAATTCTTTCAATTCTATTTGGACGACACTGCTCGAATATTAGGGAGATAACATGGCTCTTATATTAGAGGTAGGCGGCATTGCTTTAATTTTACTAGATAGTAGTTCATTTCTCATTTCAGAAAATGATATCTCGAATTCCAGCCAAATGAATGAAATTGCTCAAATTCTTGTTAGATGATATTGCTTTAACTCTAGCTAGATACTATTGTTCAAATTCAAGTTGGATAGCATAATGACATATCTGTAACTCTATTTAGATATGAGAATCAAGATCAACAAAGCAAGAGCGACGTTCACGAAAGGCAGCCACCGACACAATCCAACAACCTGAAAGGCACCAAGGAGTGCATCGAACAAAAAGCAGAAGAGGGTACAAAAGGCGAACTACCTACCAATCAATAACAGCAATTAACAATTCGATTAAGAAACCACAAGAAGTTTCAACCAACGTGAACCATAAATTGATTGATGAAAAGAGGGTGCCAAACAAGAACCGTAGAAGAGTGAATTAAATTATTCTCCTTGATTTTTTTAAACAATTTTCATCGTTACAAAAGGCTAAATATCTCAAAGATCTAAATGATGAAGTTATCAACAAGGATAGCATAATGACTATAACAAAAATATTCGGTGCTTTAAGGGAAGATGATGGTAGTTCTCTAATCATCCTAGATAGTATTGCTTTAAGTTTATGTAAAAAATAAATATTTAATTTTAGCATGATGCTTCTGCTTTATTTCTTTAAACTGACATTATTCTTGGTGGATTGTATTCACACTTACTCTAACAAGATTGCATTGCCCTTGAATTCAAACAAATAGCAGTCTTCTAAATTAAATTTAGAAGCGAAATGGAATAATTTCATATTTAATGAATGTCGGGGCCCAATTTCTGTGATATTGCTATTCAAGTCAGATAGAAATTATCACATTGTAGCCAGATAATATTTCTTTTACTGAAGCCTGGTATAATTTCTTTTCCGGCTACGTGATATTGCTCTAAAAATAATAATACTTTATCGCTATTATTATTATACATTGTACCTTGATAATTACAGGTACACGTGTAGGTAAAATTATTAGAATTCTAGTTATGTGGTTTTTTCCCAAAGAAGCTTGTATATTATGTATATTATGTATATACTTTACAACTATACTGTATATTATGCTGTCTAGCTTGCCCAAGTAGATATTATCTGTCTTTATCTGGCAAGATGGTTTTTTCTTCAACCAGCTAGATAGCATTTTGTCTAAGTCCTGCCAAATCGCATTTGTCTAAATGTAGTTTGATGATTTCAAGATTTATGATATTTGCCTAGTTCAAACGAAATATCATTTGTTAAAACTAAATTATATAGAACATTTCCTTGTTCAGATCTTGCTTGATGAATGGTGTAGAATCTCAATGCAGTTGTCCGTTGTGACTAGATTAAATCAGAATTTGATGATACTGGTATTTGTACTAATTCAGCAAGTTTACATCCGTTTAAACTCATCTAGATAGTAAATATACTTGTTTCGGTTCATCTTGATGATACCTATCTGTATTTTACCAGATCACATTAGTCTAAATATTATTAATTCAAGGTAAAGATGCTTGTCTCAATTCAGTCGGATTTTATTTCTACGCTAAGTTGAGAGATATTTGCCTTAATCAAGAAGGTCGACATTCATTAAATTTTGCCTACATATACATTGTACTGGTATGAATCCAACTTTATGAGATTTGTTTAAATCAAGAAGCCATATCAAAGTACCTAAATATACTACTAAATGGCATTTATCTAAACATAGATATAGATGACATGTACATCACTTAACCTAGATACATGAAAGAGACTCGATCCAAAATAATGAAATTTGTCTGAAGCCATGAAGATAATAATTAGATTGAACTTTGTCTTAATCCAGCAAATGAAATTTAACTCCACCCGGATAAAATTTCGCTATATCAAACAAAATTATTTTTTCTTGATCAAACTTGATAAAATTTGTATAAATCCACCAGGACAATATTTGACTTAATTCAGCTTATTGAAATTTGACAAAATCTTGCTTGCTTAAATTTGAATTTGTCTAGCTAGATAAGATGTGACCAATTTATTGCAAAAGATATAGTGAAATTTTAATTAAGTCACTTCAATCCCAGCAAAGAAATTCATCTTTAAGAAAATATTTTTTTATAGTCAAAATATTTCACTCCATTGCTTATTCTATAAAATGAACTGATCTCAGATCGCATCATAATCGTGAATGGTGACCCTTTTCTTTGTTGCTTTGAGGTCTGAGTCGATGAATATAAAATATTCTTTCCTTACCAAAACTTCACAATATTTTTCCGTTTTTGATTGCTGAAGTAATATGTTGTATTTTCTCACAGCATGTTTAACAAATTTACAAAATAAAACTTTCTTTTATTGGAATCAATATATAAAGTGGCAGATTCTTCCTTGTTTTTTTTATTTACACCAATATGGTTAACGGAAATAGCTTAAGATACGTAATTTTCTTAATTTTTCCTTGGGAAATCATGATACTATTTTAAAAAGTGAAAGTACTTGATCCAAAATTGCTATTGCCAATCATTCCTCATGTGTTTGCGTGTCTATTTTCATAAAGATCGTTGTTGGTAGTTATTATATAATCATACCTGATAATGTCATGCTGTCAGTTTCGTTGCTAGAGAAGGCAAGTCTGTTATCCTCCCAGTATTGATTCAAGTACATTGTTATAGTATAGTCCTGTAATGGGAAAACATAGTTATTGACTAGTCGAGCAATAAAAACAGCTACTTCTTTCTTCTTTCATTTGAAACTGTGTTCCAAATGAGTTTTTATTTCATTTCAATTAGTTCACGCGTAATTGTAGAACCAGAGGATATTAGAAACACATAAACATGCAATTAAACACTCTTGAATCTCTAATGCCATTTAAAAAGTCAATATCCCTATGAAGCATTTCCAGAAGCTTTAATGGCATAAAGAAAGAGGAGGAAGGTTATAAAGATATAAAAAAAGTCAAATAAATTTACTGTTTGAGAAAACCTTTGTACAGTGTTTAAGTAATGTCACAGTTTAAGCTTAACTTTCCTGTAATGACCGGAAGGGATACGCTATTGTCACCAGTACAGAGACTTTCTATCCTGCACGTTCACGCAGTGTGACTCTATTCTGCAAGGAGCTCATTTTTTGTTTTCTGGTATTGAAATCTCTTACATTTTGCTCTGTTGATATTATTTTTGTTTTAAATTGTTTTTATTTTTTGTGTGCCGAAGACGGTGTACTGTTTTATGCTATTCATTATTTCAATATTCTTAATAATAATATTCATGCTACTGCATTGTTTAAAATAAAATAATCTGAATAATATCTTTTCATAAACAAAATGTATACAAATCTGTATTCTGGAATACCCCAAGAAGTGTAAAGAAAAATGCTATAAAAGTTACTTTCAAATCTTTAAATAAGATACATGTACAACTTAATGAATAAATTTCAAACAAATCAATTGGTTTAAAAATTCTATTAGATTTTATTTTATAAAACACTCGATGTCATTCCCAATGAGCTGCAATTAAAAAAAAAACAGGAGAGAATATATCTTACCATGTTGACCTCTGAAATAGCATCAAAGCTTGCTAAAATAACCTCTATTCCAATTGACAGCGGGTCGCCTAAAACGGAAAAAGAAATACATGTTGTTGTTTTTCTTGGAAGCAATGACCGGGCGTTGTAAATTTCCATTAAGAAAACCACTTTGTTATTCTAAATTGACAATTTATACACTCTCAATATATATTAGATAAAAGTGGTAATTCTCATGAATGTATGTTCTTTCAGTTATTTGGCAATAAGAACAATGCTACTGGTAAACTGTTGCTTGATATAGGAAGAAATGGCAGTGACTAATTGTTGGCTTTAATTATACACTTCTAGCGCGAACTTCACGGTAGCGGCAAAACTGTTCAATACAATAGCTTGTTTAATGATTCAGTAACTTTTTAAGGCCTTACAGTTAGTTTCATCGGTATAAAAATTATTTTAATTATCTGGATGTAGCCAGCTTTTGGAGCAGCCAAACCTTTTCTTAACATCTGATTTATACAACACGCTACTTTAGAAGATTGTGGCATGCACTTTTCTAAATTCTTCATTCAAAAATCAAAGTTATCGGCAGGCAATTTTATGTAGAACTTTTACAAAGCGGTTTATGAGCAATTTGAATTTAATACAGGAAATTGTTAGAACCCTAACACTCATAAAGTTTGAACGCTACTGAACATCGATACAAGTAGTTGGATAAATCTAATTTTTGCAAAATATAAGGCTGCTTCCATTAAGAAGGTTCGAATGAAAACTCAAATAACGATTAAAATTCTTGTTGATGTTTAGTATTTTGATGAAGGTTGCAAATTCATACGAATGGGATATGGATCAAAGATATCCCGATGCCCGGTGTTGCTAAAGCTGCAATTGCCCATACTCAGGTTTATGATGTCCATTTTACATGACCACGCAATTGACAAGCATATAGGAACTACGCAAAATATTATCACAGAGCTTTATTTATATTTTCAGCACAGCCAAATAAATTATTTAAAGATAACCATGTAAGGGGTGACACGTGACTCAGTAACTTCAATGCTATGGACGAATGTCACGTTAAACCTGTACGACTAAAAAGAAATTCAACGGCTCGACATCTTAGTCAAGATTACCGACCCGTTTTTGTATCATGAATTTTTCTTCTTTAAATCGGTCATACCATTTTTAAACAGAACGCTGCTGATGAATAATGGCGGATGAAAGAGACAACGAGGTAAATGCTTTAAGGCGGTAATATATGACACTTGCCCGCATCTATCATGCTCTAGTATCTACATAGCTTTAAACCCCCTATATTCCCAGCAATCAACAAAAAACGTCTCAAAACTTGTTTCCATGGACAGAACCTACCGTCAAATACAGGGCTATTAGAAGTGCCTGTTACTGAATTTCCAACTGGTAATAACAATAATTATTAGAATATGACAACAGTAAGTTTCCAAACTTATCGTGAATGACCAATTTTTATTTGTTTGGGTCGTCAGACCAAACAAATAATGGTAGCGAAATTTCAGAGCCTAATGCTGTTAATTGCAAATGCCTAAAGTAGTCCACTTTTTTGAAGCGGTTACTTCCCTTAATATGTACACTAACGCCGAAAAATTCAGGGGAGATCAATGCGTAAAGATTGTCAAATGACAGGCGCATTAATTTTCAAGCAAAGTAGTTCCCGAATGGTCTAAGATTTCTAATATTGTTTCATTATTTATAGATATACATGCTTACAGTAAGCTCCATGATTATTTACATCTGTGTTAAACAACAGGTTTAGCGTCGAAATAATAAGAGTCACAAACCCTAATTTAGAATAATTTGGTTTTCTTCAGGCCGTTAAGATATAACTTCACCGTGGCCGAGGGGTTTGCATACTCGCTCATGAATCGTGAGGTTTGGAGTTCAAATCCCAGTTGAGGCAACTCATTTTTTTTAAAGTCAAATAAACATTGAATTGACTATCAGTGTTGCAATTAGTCTTAAAGCCAATTTACTACAATTAAAAACTGGAAAGCATTGGTGGCACTATACAAAAACAAATTGGTTTATAATCTCACAACCTTCACCTTTCTGACATTCTGAGACCCAAACAAATTCAGCGCCTTCTGTGCTTTGATCTTAGATGTTGTTTGAACATCTTGGCTATGGTTTGAAACAAAAACTAATATGCCATAAAACACAATTTTATAGTATTTATCATGGCTCTGAATTAATATTGTCAACCTTATACACGAAGTAAGTACATAAGTTTTTTGTACATACATACACCATCGCGTAATGAAAATTGATTGCATAACTTTAACAGTTTAAGACATATAATTATAAACCTGCAAAATCCGGTCTCAGTCGAATGTCATACCCATCTAACAGTCTCTCAATGGCTTCTGATGCATTTTTGAACTTCATTGATAAGTCTTGGGTAGTCGCTCTAAAATAAGATACAAACATGTTTACAGCTCATCTTGTATATGCTTTACGTTTTCTTTTTCAAATTTTCACATTCTCATACTTTGTGTTAGTGTATATTTGAAAATTTGATTGTTAGAATATTTCTCATACTTATTATTGTATAAGGAAATATTTTCTTCATCCAAATTCAAACTAAAAACCGACTTTCTATGTTAAGGGATTATCTTTTTACTATGTCAGAACATATGTATTCAATGTATATAAAGTTATAGACTTGATAAATGCAAATATGTACAAAATAGATTTACAGAGGATTAATTCGGTATTTAAGATACAATCTAAAATTATTTTACGATATAAATACATACAAGATAATTCATTCAAATTAACTTAAAAACTTATAAACTGTTCAAATGATGCATTATCTGTAAGTTTCAATGTAATGAAATATACATGTAGTTTCTATGACTGCAAAAGAAAAGTAAATGACAAAGAAATTCAACTATGTATGATAAAGAAATTATAAAAAAATTGAAATCTAATGCAAAAAGCTAGCATTTTAATGCAAAATATTTTCTAGCACACATTTTAATGATAACTAAAAAAATTAGAGACAGGTATTAACTGGTTATTAACTGATTGTCTGATAGCCTGAACAACGTTCAAAGTTACTTGTAAGACACATGTAATAAACAAATATAATAAATACAAGTTTGTTTCTTTAAAAAGAAGCATACGAGAGGTCTTTTGCAGCAGTTGAAGATTTGTTTATTTCGAAATATTTGTAAAAGGCACCAGAGATTTTCCAAAACGGGCATAAAGTATGTTAATCAAACAATTTTTAGTCCCAGATTAACAATAACAATGTATATATCATTTGGTTGGAATAAACAGTATATTCAGCTGCATGCCTCCAACCATAATATTTCAAGAAAATCAAACTTGAGTAAAATTTGTGCCATTTGCGCCAAAATAAACTTCTTTGCGTAATTTACTCATACCGGTTTAAACGTTAAAGGAGCAGCAAATTTACTCGATGGTGATATTGTTACTGTAATGTTCACTGTTACCTTTTTTTTGGAACATAAAATAGTAAAACGCTATACAGAAAACAATAATCGAGTTATACAGTTTAAAGTATTAAAACGGAATGAACCATTGCTCGGAGTGATATTTTCCGATTTTTCCTTGTACCGATTTGTTCACTTCGATGTTTATTTTCCGTTTAAGTTAAGTCGTATTTTGAAGCGGAGCATGTGCATAACAATTTGTAGACTGGTTCTAATGATTGAAGGCTTTAAATGTGATGCATTAGCTTCAATTTGATACGCAAAAATGGATGCCGCCAGCATTGTGGAGAGGTCTGATGACCTCTCCAATAACTGTTGTGAGGATGGTGCAATGTTTATGTTGTGTAGATGTGACAAGGGTCATCAAGACATACAATTCTGTCGGGTCTTCTCATAACATTTCAAGAGAAATATTTTATAAAAAACCCTTTATGGATGCTAACGTTACAACCGGCTTTTACTTGACATTAAAATGTAAATTCTTTAGACAGTTATAACTCTATCATGGGATGTCTGTAATGGCAGATGTGTTGAAATCTTGATCAAATCATATCACTGTACCTTACTTTATATAAGGATGTTTGTAAGCCACAAAACAGGTGAATAAGTTGTATTCTGTTTTCATACATAATCTATTTGGTTAAATAAAAAAAACAATCATTTTTCGTTAAAAACTCTATCCAGATATGACTTTAGGAAAATGAAATCAACGTGATTGCATTTTTTTTTTACTTTTTATACTTTTGTATATTTTGCTAGTTATCACTTTGAACTTTTTCGCACACATCATCAAAAGTGAACGTTTAAGACGATTTACAACATGTTAAGAAAAAATGAAGTAAAGAAAATGTGCCCTTTCCATTGTTAAGTTTGAATGGCAAACAATATATAATTTATTGGACGTGGTTGCGGACATATATTGCGTATCTATTGGCAGTATAAGAAATCTGTTGTACAGACGATGTAAGAAATGTCGGCGAACATAATTATCTAGAAGCAATTTGCCAAACTCGACAATGTCTATATAGATTTTTGAAAAAGAAAAAATGTTATAAATTAGATACAATGTGCCTGTAGCATTTCAATACACATTTGTACTGATTACATTTGGAGTTCATGTATGGATTGAAAGAAGGACTCTATTGATGTCGTTTAGCCGTAACTAGTATTCTTTGTTTAGAAAGCCAAAATAACTATTTACATAAAAGACATAAGTAACTATATAATATAAACTTTATTTTGAAATTGAGCAGAGGTTTTGGCATCTAAAGTGTACATGAAAACACGTACATGTACAGAGCATACAGATTCGTGAATCCTTAACTAATAGTTGATTACAAATAGTCATTTGATAAACGACATTAATACTTTTGCAACTTTATGTTATGACTGCAATTTTCAAATACGTCATAATAAAATCACTATTTTCAGGCATCGATTTACTAGATGTGTTTGGAACGTTATAAACCCAGAGTGACAAATAACTATAACTATATCCAAAATTTATGTATTTTTAAAAAAAAAAAATCAGCGATGTCTGGGCATACGATGTCAATGATTGCATGTAAATGTTTTGTTAAAGTCTTTACCGAAAAATGTTTTTAGGCACCTCTTTTCACATTCACAATCATGTTCAAAGTTTTGCGTTAAAAAAGTGATAGCAATTTCACTATATTCACTTCAAAGTTATAATGGTTATAAAAACATTAGTTTAATAACACTATAACATAAAAAATGAAAATAAATGAGACTACCATTTTTACGCTCTAAATGTGACACAATGCATGGAAACAAATATTATTCATGAATCTACATCGAAGTCAACTGTCACTTTTTAATATAAAGATGTGTCGTTATGTGCTTAAAATGATGACATGAATATTATTCTGGTACATTTTGTGTACATAAAAAACATCAGTACAATAGATTTGTGTTAGGATGAAAAAATAAAGATGAATTGTTTGCCCCTTCATAATAATAAGCATATGCTTTTAAATTATAACAATATAGATACATGTTAGAATAGTGATGCCATAGAAGATCCATTATGTTTTCCTTTTGATGTGGTCAGTATGCCTTTTTAAACGGGTGTTTTCTGAAGTTCCTGGAATTGTACATACATCGGGCATAGGTGATGGAAAAAAAAACAGTTGCATGTGTAAAGTACAGAACAAGAGAGAAGAAAATATAAAAATTTACACATGTTCATGCAACAAAATAAGTTCACTGCAAGAAGATTTAATTTATCAACGCTATAACTGAGGTCGTAAAACGTAAAATAATCCAAAGAAAACACAAGAAAAAGAGCATTTTTCTGTCTCGCAAATAAGCTCACAATCAAACATGTTTTTTGTAAGTTCAAAATATCATTATTTGTTCAATTTTTGTGAAGACCGTATGTCAGACAAGTGTTATTTTAAATGCTAATCAAATTATTACCATTAATGCAAATAGAGGGGAAATTCTCTTGACAAACCGACGCGGGAAAATAGGCACTACTGTACAGGATATATCGCTTAAATGGGTGAGTAATGCATGATGATCTTTATCTCCTATAGAAATTAGACAGTTAAATATCGCTATTGTTTTCTATTTGATACCCACGCATGTATTTATTTACTTGATTATTGTAATGTCTGTTGTTACAAATGTAACCTTGACGAAATAAAAGAATGTTGTATTGTATATTGTATTGATTAAACTTCATAAATCGTAGAATTATACATGTATGTACATAATCCTAAAAGACAATAATTTACTGCAGTTTCGATCAAAATGCATACTGTTTCCGCAAGTGGCATTACTTTACTGACTTCTTCAAGACATTGGTTTCATTAAATCATTACTTAGGTAAATGGAATGTCTTGCTTGAATTTAATACAATCTAGCTCAGAGTTATTTGATTTACCTGTTAATTCAAACAAATCTTGTTTCTTTCAATTCAACTCATTTACTTAACTTTAACAAATCCATTTCAGTCAGGTTTAACTGAAACTAAGTCATTTGATTTATTGATTTAACCAATTCATTTTAGACTGTTCTACTTTTGAAAAAATTATATAGTTTGTACCAATCCAATTCAAACTGATGCAATTCAAAGTAACTTTTTAATTTAAACCAATTCAGTTCAGTTAAAACTTCTTTCGTTTAAACTAATCCATTTTAATCAAACTGCTTTGATAAAAAAAATAACTCAGTTCAGGTTGTTTTAATTTAGACTAGTGATTTAATCAAAATTAATCTCAATAAAACTGCATCGTTTAATCATGGGTCAACCAATTTCTGTTTGGTGTACATAAAATCAATGCATGACACGTGACGCATTATACAAGTATCAAATATGGAGACAGTGTATCTTATCTACGTGGTTGTTTTGTGTGTATTTGTTTGTTTGTTTGTTTGTTTCAACTGAATCCCAATTTCGAATTGAAATTCTTACTTTGATATAAGTGTTCTGTTCATTAAAAGAGTAAACAAACACATGAAACATTATAAGGTTCCTTAATTGGGAAATACTTCATGTATAGAATGTGATTTTTGTATTAAAAAATACCCACCCTTGGAAAGCTAGCACGGTTAATATGGGCCACATCAATATTACAGTTCTAAGGAAATAATCCATGTCTGAAAGACATCCTTTATTTGTCCGTATGTTATCTTTCGCGGACATCTATGCACCAACCAATTTCTGCCTCTTGGCAACTATCGTCTCAACTCGGCACAATCCACACAAAAACACAAGTAATTTCCAAATCGTTTCCCTTGGATACAACTCTATAAATATGTAAGTCCAACAAATGTTTAAAGTGTCCATGTACTAAGTATTGAGTGATTTAAGAAAGAACATGTCTACTATTTGTATAGCAACTGCTGTAGCCACTTTGTATTCTAGTTTGGCACTATCTTATACATTCATTCATTAAGAATGACACTTCCGTACACATTACAATCTAACTTTGATCAATATCAAATAAAAAAGCAGATAGATTTTTTATCCTCCGAGCGCATACACATGAAATTGTTCGGATTTTCCAACAAGCGATAAAATGTGGCGTTCTAAGATTCCAATAGCATACTAGAGCAATGAGGATTCAGCTCCGGCAATAATCGATGTTCCTCCATTGTCATGTTGAGTGCCTTCTTGCATGACATTTTACCATTCTCTTGCATAGAAAAGAGATTACTGAAAAATATAGTAAATGGAACTCGTATTCATAAAGCTCAATTTAATTCTCTACTCTATCCAAACAAACTCTGCCACTGAGTAATCAATAAAAACATCTTGGTAGTCATGGCGTATCATTAACATGATTATAAAAAAAAGCATTCATTCTTAGGGTAAAACCAGATGATGATGATTTATTGTCAAGAGCGAATACGAAATACATAAAAGTTGCTGTAGAACCAAATCACCGCAGGCAACATAAGTGGGGTTGTTTTTTGTTTGTTTATTTTTTTTTTCAAATTTGCCAAAACTTCTTACTCCGATATGATTATGGGTTGAGTGCCTTTGCTTCACAGATACAAAGAAGCAATGTAGTTCGTAAAAAGAAGAATGTTAAGCACATGCTTAGAGCAAGAGGAAATGAAATTACATGAAATTATTATGAATTAAAAGTGCAATATGCCTTAGAGACTAATAAATATTCCTTCTTTTTAAAGGGTTATAATGAATTTGATACCGTTTTAAGTATGGTTTTAGAGCATGTTAGATGGTTATTACCTGGAGAAAGTAGCGCTGAATGTAAAATTAAGTAGCAAAATGTAAACAGAGTAGTATTTTGACTGCCATATATAGTACTAAATCACTATAACTGTACTTTCTCCTATTAAGCACTAGAAGCAAAATATGAATCAGGTAATTGGCCAATGAGTAACTTTCTGGAAACAATAAAATAATAGCTTTGAAAATAAAAAGAAAATTTTTAGGGATAATAGGATTCTTCACATTATTGCCTTATACGAGCGAAGTATAATTTATATACTGTAGATACTGCAGAACACTTCAACGAATTTCTAGCCACTATATAAAGTATGATATTTCACAACGATCATGGTTGTTTTAAAATTGTACACATCAACCTATCGAATTAACATAAAGAACTAGTATTCACTTACAAAACAATCTACAGTATCTTTAGAAATGCATTAAATGAAAAGACGTGGAACATAACGCTATATTACAATATTTCATTTTCAGTTTTTGTTTTATGGGTTACCATTTCTTTTATGTTTATTCCCGTTATTAATTTGCAATGAAGTTTTGTTTTACATAGAGTTGTTAATAATATTAACCAATATTTTGTTATTTGACAACTATGGCTTCAGTATGATAAAAAGTATAATGAAGACCAACTAAAAATGCGCCAAAGCCCGCAGCACATTTGTAATTGTAAAAACAACCTTTGTACAGACTACATCATGGATTTTCCCATAATGTCTTGCAATTATTGTGTGGCAATACAGTTATTGTTTTTCTGGCTTCAAATTTCATAGAAATTTTATTCTCGTTATTTTGTCCTTCAAAAATAACTATTTTAAGAGGGCACTGGTGACATGCCCTTGGCCCGGACTCTCTATCGTTTCATGGTATACTAAAGCTGAGCGGGCAAGTGGCCTCTCATCTAACATGATTTCAACTCAACAACTCAGGAAAGTTGACATATCATGTGAAGCCAGAAATGACTTTAATTAATTTTCAGTTTGACATTTTATCATATTGTTTACGAACATTCTAGAAAGGAACTAAAAATTACTTGTGCTTGAATTCATTATATTACTTCTCGTGATATGTTTCTAATTTTGTTCATGTTTGTGATCTTTGTAATATTATATTACCGCGCAGTTGAACTCAAACAAATCAATGTTAAAAGACGTTTTCCACTTGATTCCCGGCAAAAACATTAACACGTGATGAAACATAATAACCAAAAGTATTTTTTACAGTCACATGTGACGGCTATTTGAACTGATACTTTATATTCTATGACGATATAGAACTAATTTGTATAAATATAAGCTACAATCATTATACTTAGTCATCAAAATCAGCCATCTGGATCACGCTGTATAAAAAGATATTTTCTGCCAGTTTCTAGTCAACAAAATAGAAGAAAGTAACAAGAGTCAAATCCAATGATCGTTCGTTGATTGTATCTTTTCAGGAAATTATTGAACCTTAGAAGTATGTTTTTCCTAGCGATGAACAATGTAACTATATAATTCCTAGCCGTGTTAGGGAAGGAAATGTATTCAAATTGCAATGTTCATATCAAAACAGACAGCCTAGTGAGACATTGATTTGTCGGAGCACATTAATCCATATAAGAGGTCCGCGAAATCGATAACATCTAAAATGAACAGACGTAAATTGCGTCTTACAATATCTAGAGAATCTTTTCCCATAGAAACATTTACAAAGATATTACCAAAACGACCTAATTTTTCATTCAATATTTCAAGATTTATTTTGGAATCTTACAGTAAAGAAATCTAATAACTTAGCATTTAAATGAAGAATTTAAACAAATTTGATTACAAAATCTCTCAAGCGCTCGGCTTTATCACCAGCGAGTAAGTTTGTTTCCACGTTATTTCAAAGTCTACAAATACTGGTACATTTACAAAAACCAATTTATTGTCTGTCCTTACATGTACACTGATTTATGTTTTAATTTTGTTGAAGATTTCGTTCCCAAAAATACTTAAAGTCATTTAAATATTTAAATTATGTATTCATAAATAATAATTATATATGCAAGAATCTGTGAGATTCTACAACAAATATTGTTCAAAGAAATGCCTTTTACATTTCATTTTGGATACAACCCATTTCTTCAAAGACACTGTTAAATTCTCTTCGGTGTACGTAAAAACATAATAAGGACAGTCAAAATTAGTTCATGATTTTTTTTCATGATTTGTATAGGTTGTAGAAGCAAAATGCATATATTAAAAAGATATATTAGTTCAATTCCTTTATTTAACAGCATGGGAATAAAGCATATGACAATTTCAAACAAACAATTATCACGTTTTTAATTGACACGCTCTTTTAATATTGAGAACAATACGCATCAACATAACTTTATTTTGTTCTTCTAATTTCTGTTAATCTGTCGTCATCCCTTAAAAATATTATTTTTAATATCATTAAAAGCTACAATAAGTTAAACGAATATGAATCCAAATTTGGAAAAAGTAGATAAACATTTATGTTGAATATTTGGAAAGCGATGAGTGAAATACTTTAACAATAAGTTTTCAAGATAATAGCTACATCTTCTAACAGTGAAATTTTCAGTAGATTAGTGAATACATTAGCAGTTATTTTTTCAATTGATCAGTTACATGTTTTTGGAATGAATATTCCAAACAATTAGGCAATTTTTTTATATTTTAGCAAAAATATTTCAATTGAATAGCTATATCTTTACCACTAACCACTAACATTTCAGTTGATTAATGTAATATTTTAACAATAATAATTTAAAGTGATTTTATATAAGCAATCAATATTGTTAGTGACTTGAAATATCTTAGCAATATTTTTTTAGGTGATTGGCTACACATTTTAGCAATAATATTTCCACTAATCAGTAAAGTATTTCGGCAATAATATTTTAAGTACTGGGTTGATTAATTTTGTAAATGATATTTCTGGTGACTTGCTTAATAAATTTTAGAAATAAACAATTTAAGATGTAAGTAAAATATGTTGGCGAAAATATTTCAAATTATAAGTGAAATATTTCATGGAATAAATATATAAAGCGATTGACTACATATTCTCTTTGTGATATTTTATTTGAAGTTAGAATTACATATAAATGAATTACATGTGCATAAATCAAATGATTGTGGCGGCATTGGTCCAAGCAAGAACGTTACGTAACTGTGGTGTCCACATCACTACATACATTGTATTCTAGTGATACTGGCTTATTCTCTATCTTACGTCCCTATATACAAAAGTGACGATAAAGAAAATCCAAACAATTAAAGTTCTAAATCTATTCTGCCTACAATTTCCAAAATATTTGAATGACACACTCATTCACTTATTCGGCTATTAGAAGCATGGCTAATAAAAAGATAGATATAGATTTTGGTAAATATGTTGGATCTTGTCGACTATTAAATATTATTGCATAATTTAAAATTTTATCACTTTTAGATAACTCGTAGTGTCCACCTTTTGAAATCTTATCTATCAAACAGAACGCAAGTAATTAAAGTTGAAAGTACCATGTTCAATAGCAGGCTTGTAACTTCTGGAGTTCCTCAAGGTTCTATAATTGGCCGTCTTTGTTCTTATTATATATTAATGATGTCGCAATAGCTACAACAAAATATATAAAAAAAGATTTGGCAATTTTACTGTGTCTCTTATCTTGATTTGAATGTAGTACAAAGTAAACTTCAACAAAATTTGGATGCAGTGGATAATGGTGCAATTTAAACTATATGATAATCCAAATCAAACAAAATGCATGGCATTGTGTGCAAAACGAAAAAGTAATATTGAACTATACTCGTATTTTTACTATTTGACAGATGAAAAGAAGCTGCTACTAGTATTTTATAATGTATATAGTATGTCGAATTTTGATTATTGATGTGCTTTTTAGAGCGAAGAAAAATTAAGGTTATTGAATAAAATAGTTAACAACGATTATTTATAACAAAACATCTCGAATAAAAAAACACACAAGAAAGGACTTGGGTGGATGCCATTCAATGAACGATGTGATTTTCTAACTGGGACTCTTATTTGTTAAGCCATCTTAGATATCTGGAATATTTACTTTTTTCAAGCATTAAAATTCAGCTTAATAACAAAGTTTAACTCGAACATCGTACAACTTATGAAAAGAAAAGACTTTTTAAATGTTACAATGGTGCAAATGTCCTGGCTCCCGCCACTAGTGAAGTATTTATTTTCATACCACTCGATGAAAATAAATGCTGTATTTATAGAAAAAAAACTTAAAAATCCTGTATTTAGCAATGCAAATTTTAAGTGATGGCAATGGATATTCTACACAATTTAGCAACGAAAATATTACATGGTTAGTGACATATTTAAGCATTTTATTACATATGCAAATTTAGTAACATTATGTACATCTAATTGGAAATGGTCAGTATACAGGTAAAAATC